GGGCTTCCTGCGAGGAGCCTGCTTCTCCCTCTCCCTGTGTGTGTCTCTGCCTCTCTCTCTATGTCTCTCATGAATAAATACATAATCTTAAAAAAAAAAAAAGAGAGATGTTTGCTTCTTACAATTTAAAGGCAATAGCTCGGGGCACCTGGGTGGCTCAGTGGTTGAGCGTCTGCCTTTGGTTCAGCTCATGATCCCAGGGTCCTGGGATGGAGCCCCCTGTTGGGCTTACAGCTCAGTGAGGAGCCTGCCTCTCCCTCCACCTCTGCCCCTCTCCGTTCTTGTGCTCTCTCTCTCTCTCTCTCTTGCAAATAAATACTTTTTTCTTTTCTTTCTCTTTCTTCTTTTTTCTTTTCTTTCTTTTATTTTCCTTTTCTTTCTTAAGATTTATTTATTCATGAGAGACACAGAGAGAGAGAGAGGCAGACACAGACAGAGGGAGAAGCAGGCTCCGTGCAGGAAGCCTGATGTGGAACTCAATCCTAGGACCCCGGGATCACAACCTGAGCCAAAGGCAGATGCTCAATCACTGAGCCACCCAGGTACCCCACAAATAAATAAAGTCTTAAAAAAAAAAAAAAAAAGAAGAGTCAAATGTTCAACCAACTGAGCCACCTGGGCACCCTCCCTTTTTCTTTCTAAATAAACAGAAGATAGTTTTGGTTTTAAGAAATCCACTAGAGTTGCCCTCTTGGTTGCTGCTGCTGGGCTGATGAAGCAGTCATTGTCTGAGAGTCTTGGTGACCTGTTTCGGTTCTCCTGGGACACCTGGTATACAAAGTTGATCACTAGGGAGGTGGTATATTCTTTGCATCAGTAGCCCAGGATTTCCTGAGTGTAAAGAACCAGTATTCTCTTTAATTCCTTCTGCCCCAAGATTTAAAGTTGGGGTCACTAGTGTGGACTCTGGTAGCTTCAACTGAGGCCTGACAGGAGGGAAGGGGACCATCCTAGGCTTGAGGGTCCCTGAACCCCCGCCAAGTGGGTTTGATTTGGCCAAGCCTATGGCTAATGCTAGAAGCTCCTGCAGCCCCTTGGCTCAGGGAGCAAAGGCGGACCTGGGTGTCGAAGCCTGGCAGCTCATGTACCAACCTTTGTGGTTGATTTTCTAAGAGGACATGAAGTGGGTGGAAGAAGTATAGCAGGCCCTGTGGACAGCAGAGCTCTCCCCCAAATAAGCATGGAAGCTGGCAGGCTGGCCCTTTTGGACGCAGTGCTTGGGAAATTCTGAAAGAAATAAAAACACCAAAGATTTTTATTTTCCTGATGAGGAAAAGCCACGTGGAGCTAATTACAAATATAAAGGCAAAAATGCAGGAGAAGTGACTTACAAATGTTTCCTAGATTTATGGATCATAGTGGTTGCACTTTCTTTTAAATAAAGTTTTTTAAAATTTTTTATTTTACATTTTAAAAATAACGGCTAACTTCAGCTGTTCTAAGGTCCACCCTGGAAAGGGTGTATTTGTCCACAGTTGGACCAGAATTTTACAGGAGAGACTGACTGGCAGGATCCAGCCATGGCAGTGGCTAATGGACCTATCCCTTTGCCCATTTAACAAATATTCAGTGATGTGTGCCAAGCAATGGACTAAGTGCTGAAGCACAGGACAATGCTAGTTCTTGCCCTATGGAAGCTTGCAGTCTGCAAAAGAAACAGAATAACTACATGAAATAAAGTAGGGTAAATAGCTCTGAAGTTTACAGTAGAGGCATGTGACCTGGCCTGGTAGTGGTGGTTAGGAAAGCTTTCCCTAAATAGGTGACCTTAGAGGATATCTAGGCAGAGGAAAGGGAAGAGAGCACTGCAGACAGAAGGAATAGCCTGTGCAAAGATCCTGTGGTGGGAGGAAGTCTGGAAGAGTAAACAAGACTGAAAGATGTGGCTAAGGCAGAGAGAACAAAGGGCAGAGTGTAGGAGCTGGAGTTGAGGGGCACAGGCCACACCTTGTGGGGCTTCATAGGCCAGATTAAGGATCTCTGTCTGCCTTAGAGCAGTGGGAAGCCTTTGAAAGCTTTGAGGAATTGGAGGTGACATGACCAGATTGTGTTTTGGATAGATTGCTGGGCTTGTAGTATCAAGAATAGATCAGAGCTGGGTTGGTGTGGATGCAGAGACCCAGACTGGAAGGCAATCATAGTCATTTATGCTCAAGATGGTAGTTGGGGCCAGAGCGGTAGTGCTGGGGACAGAAGTAGAAAGCTTGGTGGAACATCTAGGAGACAAAGTTCATAGAACTTGGGGAAGGACAGGATGTGGCAGGGTGGAGGGCGGAGAGGAGCAGTAGTAGGAGAAGCCCCAGGTTTCAGGTTTGTAGAGCAGCACCGATTGGGTGCCATCCAGGGATGGAGGGACAGGGGTCCCTCCCCAGAGAGAGGAAACTGCAGGGGAAGGTGATGCTCAGAGACAGTCAATTTTCCTTTGGGTGACTTGGAGGATTCGTTTTGGTCTGACTGAAACTGTTCCCTTAGCTCAGGGTTCTTCCAGCATAATCCCTAGACCACTTACATTCAAATCAACTGAGATGTTAATAATTCAGATTTCTGGGTGCCTCACAAACCAGAATCCCTGGAACAGAGGCCAAGACGTCTGTTTTAACAAGCTCCCAAAGGGTCAGCTCCTATGCATGTAAGGATTGAGGACAACCACCTTCTATTTTTCTTCTTAGCTGGACTTTTCCCATGTTCTCCCTCCCAAGACCCTTCTTGCGCCCGCAGCAGCCATGAGATTACCTGGCCAAAGTTCTAAGCTCTGACTGACCACTTGTCTTTTTGAACCTATGAATGTAACAAGGCTTCAAGACAAGGGGCTCCTAAGACAGGAGAAAGAAGGCTAAAAAAGGAGCTGGTTGTGTTAGCTGTAAATACACAAACAAGATGCTGCATGTACAAAAAGGAACCAGCTCTTCCCTGGAGTTTCCCACTCAGTGGGGGTGACAGACATGTAAACACTGAAAATACAGGGACACCTGGGTGGCTCAGCAGTTGAGCACCTGCCTTCCGCCCAGGGCGTGATCCTGGGGTCCGGGGATCAAGTCCCGCATAGGGCTCCTTGCATGGAGCCTGCTTCTCCCTCTGCCTGTGTCTCTGCTTCTCTGTGTCTCTCATGAATAAATAAATAAAATCTTAAAAAAAAAAACATTGAAAATACAACGCATATGTAGTACTTACTATGGGCCAGGCACTGTTCCAAGTGCTTTACATTTACTAATTTATTTAATCCTTACAACCTTACAAAAAAGGTTCTGCAACAGTGGTGGTGATAAAAAGATGTACTGAGGACCCCGAGAAGAAACCTATGATGGACTTCATGGAAGTGGTTATCAACCACAAAAGATAAGAGTCAAGTCCAAGAGGCAAGAAGGACAGAGGAATCATCTAGTATGTGCAAGGCATAGAAATGTAAGGCAACATGGTATATTTGGAAAATGAAACCTGTTTGCTGAGGTCTGGCATGTAGGTGCGTAAGTGCAAAGTGGCAAGGGATATGGATGAAGAGAAGCTCGGCCAAGTTAAAAACCCTTTTGCCCTGTTTCAGATTTTGGGCTTTCTTTTGAAACTTAGAGCTTTCAGATAGGAATGATGTGATCAATTTTGCATTTCACAAGATTCGTGATGAAAGCAATGTGGAAAAGAAATTAGAAAGGAGTTGGGCTGGAGGTGGGGAGGGTGAGAGACAGGAAAACCTGAAACAGGACAGAGGCAGTGAGGATGAAAAACAGGGTGGGTTGGGAGATTCCATAGGAAGTAGCACTTGCTGATGGATTGGATGTGGAGAGGAGGGAGGACGGAGTTAAGGGCTGTGGTCTGGGTTTCTCGCTCACAGGCCAGGAGTGGCAGCGGGCACAGAAATACAGAGCCCAGGAGGAAGAGCAGAAGTTAGGAGGGAAGATAACATCCGGTTCTCAGCCCAGCAGCCCCTGTGGCTCACCTAAGACTCATCCAGGGTGAGTCAAGGAGGGATCCTGGAGGTGCTACCTCTAGGAAAGGAGATGGTCCGAGACGAGGGTAGTTCCTCTATATCCCTGGAAGGTAGTCAGGGAAGGTAATTCATTCAACCCACATTTAAAGAATATACACTGTGTGCCAGGTTCTATTCTTGGTGATGAAAATAAGGAGACGCACCAGGACGGGTGACAAGGAGAGGAGTGAGTCAGGCACATCAAGGGACTAGCTGGGGTAAGCACACAACAAAAATCTGAAAAGGGAAACTTTTTTAATTTTAAAACTACAAGCTATCAAACAGAAAGAGCACAAAGGATTACCTACAGTCCCGTCATCCAGAGAAAACCAAGTTTGGAGGATCCCTGGGTGGCGCAGCGGTTGAGCACCTGCCTTTGGCCCAGGGCGCGATCCTGGAGCTCCAGGATCGAGTCCCGCGTCGGGCTCCCTGCGTGGAGCCTGCTTCTCCCTCTGCCTGTGTCTCTGCCTCTCTCTCTCTATCATAAATAAATAAGTAAATAAATAAATAAATCTAAAAAAAAAAAAACCACACCAAGTTAACCACCTTCTTTATTTTCTCAAACTCTGTACCTCATTTTTTTTTTTTAAGATTGTATTTATTCATTCACGAGAGACACTGAACTAGAGGCAGAGACGCAGGCGGAGGGAGGAGAAGCCGGCTCCATGCAGGGAGCCCGATGCGGGACCCGATCCCGGAAATCTGGGGTCAGGCCCCGAGCTAAAGGCAGACGCTCCACCGCTGAGCACCCAGGGGTCCCAAGCACCTCACTTTTGAAAGGCGGGCGCCCTCTCCTGTTTCGTGAAAGGAACAGTTGCATTCTTACTGGAAGCCGACGCCGCTAGGAGGCTCCATTCAAGGAACGGAACCGCAGTGGCTCGGACGACGGGGCAAGGGCGCGGCCGGACCTTCGCTTCCCAGACTAGCAAGTGGAGCGGTACCGGGGGCCGGGCCTCGGGCCTCGGGTCGGCTCGGCGGCGCGGGGGGGGGGGGGGCGGCGGGGCGGCGCGGCGGGGGCGGGGCGGGGGCGGGGCGGCGCCCGCCGTGGAGGCGTGGCCTTGTGACGCCACGCCGCGTCTCCCCGCCCGGTGGCCCATTGGCTCTCCGTTGCCGCCCTTTTCCGGGGCAGGGAGACTGCGGCAGAGCCGGAAGCGGGGTAGCCCTCGGGCGCGAGGGGGCGGCGGCGCGGCCAAGAGACCCCGGGGCCCTGGGGCCGGCCAGCTTCTCCTCTCGGCCGCCCGCGCGCGCTGAAGGCCTCCAGGATTCGGGCGCCCTATGGGAGGCAGCGGGTCGCGAGCTCCCCGGCGCGGACCGCCGGAGCCCAGCCACTGAGAGGCACCGGAAGCTTCGCCCGTGGGAGGAGTCGCGACGCTTCGCGCGGAGGATGGAAGCCGGAGGGCCAGCCCCGGGGGCGGAGCCCGCGGCCACGGCCACGCCCCCGGGGGCCGGTCCCGCCGCCCTGCGCTTCGCCGCCGCCGCCAGCTGGCAAGTCGTGCGGGGCCGCTGCGTGGAGCACTTCCCGCGGGTGTTACAGTTCCTGCGGTCGCTGCGCGCTGCCGCCCCCGGTTTGGTTCGCTACCGCCACCATGAACGCCTGTGTATGGGCCTAAACGCCAAGGTATCGGAGCCAGTAGGAGCTGGAAGACAGAAAAGGGCGGGGTGCGAGAGGACCCGATGGGGTCCGACCACTTGGGGTTGGGACTGGCTGGAAAAGGGCAGCTGGCCCCAAAGCGCAGATTGTGAATTTAGTGCCCTTCACAGGTAGTGGTGGAGTTGATCCTGGAGGGCCGGCCGTGGGCCCAGGTTCTGAACGCCCTGCATCATCATTTCCCAGAGTCTGGACATGTAGTGCGGGACCCCAAAGCTGTGAGTAATCCCTGGAACAAGCCTTATTCCCCAGTTAACACTGGGTGCCACGATGTTGATTCTCCTTCCGGCCACTGGGTCCTGGTGACCCTGGACTGACTGCTTTTCATTACGCTCAACAGACAAAGCAGGATCTGAGGAAGATCTCGGAGGCACAGGAGACGTTTTGCCAACAGGTGAAGCAACTAGCAGAGGCCCCAGTGGACTTGGCTTCCAAGCTGCAGGTGAGACTGGCTGGCTGGTTTGGAAGCTATTATGCGGTTAATTTTCCTAATCCTCCTCTGACCTCCTTTTCTCCCCACTGCAGGAACTTGAACAAGAGTATGGGGAACCATTTCTGGCTGCCATGGAAAAGCTGTTTTTTGAATACTTGTGTCAGCTAGAAAAAGCACTGCCTGCACTGCAAACACAGCAGGTTTTCCTGGGGCAAAAAGAAGGGCAGTGTGTGGGATGGTTGTATCAAGGACTGTGGTCTTCATGCCTCTCTCCCTCTGCCCACAGCTTCAGGATGTGCTGAGTTGGATGCAGCCTGGAGTTTCTATCACCTCTTCTTTTGCCTTGAGCCAATATGGTGTGGACATGGGGTGGCCACTTTCAGGTACCAGGGAACTTGAGGGTGGATTGTTTGGCCTGAAACCTTTTGAGATGGGCTCTTGGAAAGGTTACACAGACCTGAGGCATAAGAAACCAGACTGAATTGTGTTTCTGTCCTAAAGAGCTTCATTTTCTTTTCCAGAGTCCTCCGTTACTGACTCAGTGAGCATGACAGAGCCCATGGAGCAGAGTCCTCCTCAGCAACCAAAACTGGCACTTCACCATCCTTTGCCAAAAGCCAGGCCTGGCCCATACCTTCCTCAGGAACCAGCCTCAAGGAAGCACCCAGTACCTATAGCTGGCTGCCACTTCAATCTGGCCCCTCTGGGCCGGCGAAAAATCCAGTCCCGATGGGCATCCACTAAAGGAGGGCATAAGGAGCGCCCCACAGTCATGCTGTTCCCTTTTAGGAATCTGGGTTCACCATCCCAAGTCATATCTGAGCTGGAGAACAAGGAAAAACATGGGATGCACATGGCAGATCCAGCAGGTGCTGTGGGCACGAGAGCAGCTTCCACTGGGAAGTCTAAGAATCTGTCCCCAATCCTGGGGGAAAGGATTCTGAAGAACCCAGTTGACCTGTTGGCTTCAGAGCAAGAAGAGTGAGTGGAACAGTTGCTTCTCCCTACCAGCAGCACATTCTTTGCCTGCTTTCCCCTCACCTCTCCTCTCTTCTTTGCTTGCTCCCCCTGCAGGAATTGTTTGGTCTGCCCAGTGGACCCCCTGAGACTTCCACTGTCCCCTCCTACGGCCAGGAAACCAGGTAAGTATCCTGAGTCAGGACTGGGTCAGACAGCCTCCTCTCTTGGGGACTCTTGAGGGTCTGTCCCCCTAGAAGGGTGCTTTGACTCTGGTTTCCTTCCTACAGTGTGTCCTCCATCTCTGTGCAGCTCTGTCATTACCATAGGGGACTTGGTTTTGGACTCTGATGAAGAAGAAAATGTCCAGAAGGAAGGAAGGGTGAGTAGGAAGGCACAGAAAGCTGGGGAAGGGGCTGAGCAGAACCAGAGAAACCCACCAAAATATGGAGGGCTCAGGGACTGAGATGATTATAGTATCTCCCTGCTCCCTTCTCTGCAGGAGTCTCTGGAAGACTATCAGAAGACAAAGTTTGACACCTTGATTCCCACCTTCTATGAATACCTCCCCGCTTCTGGCCCCAGTGCCATGTCTGTCCCTTCCATGACCACAGGGACAAGTCCAGACACTTAGAATAGGATGAGAATTCCCTCTGCACCCTGCCTGTCTCTTTCCTCAGCTCTGTACACAGTTTAGTGGGAATAAAGTGGAAGCCCCAAGCGTGGTACCTGACTGCCTTGCTAAAAACTCTGTAATCCTTGTTAATCTAAATTTGGATTTGTTAAACATGGTCTTGGTGTGAGGGAGGGCAGTGAAGGCTCTTACCAAGTTAGTGTAGGTCATTCCTTAGAATTGGCCTCACCAAGGCTGGAGGAATCCCTTTGCCTTAGCACTTCCCCTGGAAAATGTTGTTCACGTGTGCCAAGAAGGGTTGATAGAGAAATTTCCCTTTGCTATGCTAGAAATAGCTGTGTGTCATGATGCCAGGATGTACTTTGTAAACTCTCATGCTGCCAGATTACCCGGGAGTGGTGGCACTAGGATGGAGATACTATATGGAAAATGTGCTTCCTGTCCTTGACTCTACTATGCCAACTCTGCTTCTATTTGCCCTGGAACACCACTCAGATGTGAGGCTTGTGCAGAAAGATCCAGAATCTCTTTAAGGTCACTGAGATCTCTTTATTGAGATATTTAAAATGCGTCAACACTTCTGAGCTTTTTAGGTATTCAAAGCTCCTATTACCAAAATATGATTTCAAGAGCCTAACTCTTCCAGATCAAAGCCATATTAAACACCTAGGTAGGAACCAGCATCTTTTCCTTTTAATAATCTTCAGGATGCTGGGTCCCCAGTGTGCATTTGACTGTCTTCATTTTCTTAGCTTGGCTGCCTCGCTTCCTCCCCAGTGTGTGCCCTGGGCATTATGTGTGTACAGAGTACAGAATTACTGCAGGAGCCCTCAGCAGTGAGACAACAGGAAATGACTGAGTGATAAATAGCCATAGTAGTTCGGATGGGTGAGGAACCCACTTGGGAGGTGCTAGTGCCTTGAGAGGGCACAGCTGCTCAGGTCTAGCTCTCATCACTGAAGATTGGATTCACCTGCTGGGTGACCCGGATGAAGGTGGTTCTCCGGCTCAACTCCTTCAGTTTAGCTGCTCCCACGTAGGTACATGTGGAGCGGATGCCTCCAAGGATGTCTCGGATGGTATGTTCCACATCCCCTTTAAAGGGCACCTCCACCGTCTTTCCCTCTGAGGCCCTTAGAGGAGGAAAAACTTTCTTACCTTTTCCTTTTGGATTCATAAGCCCAATGGCTCTTCCCTGGTCTCTGGCATTTACCCTAGTTCACCGCTTTTCCTCCAAGAATCGTACTGTGCACCTCCCAGCAGCCAGGACTTCTGCCGCCACCCTCTTGGTCACACTTTATAGGAACCCTCAGCTCCTGGACCTCTGCACATACCTGTACTCAGCCACTCCCCCAGCATACTTCTTCATGGCCATTTCAGAACTCATCCCATAAAAGAGCTTGTACTTCTTGCCATCTCTCTCGATGAGCTCACCACCTGATTCACTGTGCCCAGCCAGCATGCCACCCAGCATCACAAAGTCAGCTCCTGCCCCTGCCAGCATCAAGAAGGGGAGAAAAAACTGAATCTGGTCTGGGTGCCCACATGCCCACCCTCAGAAGCAACTCACCAAATTCTCAGTCCTGTCAATGAGTCTAACATGTTACTGGTTTTGTTTCCCTAGCTGACACACAACCCACACAAGCCTGGTCTGCTCTGGCCTCTACTCCTCAGTGGGCCTGATTTCTCCAAGAATTTAAAAGGAATCTGGAGATTCCCTCCCTGGCTTCTGTTGTTGTTGTTGTTTTTGCTGCTTTTGCCATTTTGTTTCTTTTCACTGTGTGCAGCCAAACAAGACTCGCTTCAAGTGTCCCCCAGGGGCAAAGGTTTCTAACTTTAGTCCAACAGTCCGGGGATATTACAGATGGACCTGGCCTGCACTTGGGCAGTCTCTATCAGAGTCTCAGGATTTCTCCTGCTGGCCTGCCCCAGATGACACTACAGCTTCAGGGTTACTGGTTCATATTGTGAGAGAATTTGAATGGCTTTCTCGGCCTCCCCAGGCCTGATCCTTGACCCTCAGAGGTGACTTATCCTCTTCTACAGGACTCTCCCTCTGTGCTCGCCCAACATCCTTACCGAAAGCCTTGGCCACATCCCCAGGACAGCTGCAGCCTCCATCCTGCAAAGTAAGGACCACTAGGAAGAGACAACATGGATTTCCCAAGCATTCTGAGCAATGTCCCTGCAGCCCATCTCAAAGCTGACAGGAACCCAGGAATCCTGAGCCACCACTACCACAGCTTCCACACCCCGCAGAAAAGAAGATGTTTGGCAGCCTTGTACCCTACCCTGCCCTTGGGCCTTACTGAAATGATGTGGCCCTTGAGGCCATGAGCAGCATCTGCACACTCCATCACTGCACTGAGCTGTGGGTACCCCACTCCAGTTTTCTTCCGGGTGGTGCACACAGAGCCTGAGAAGAACGCAATGAGAATGGTGAAGTGTTCACAGGCGTTTGACACCAGACAGGTAGCCTTTGGCACCCAGTGAACCACCTTACCTGGTCCGATTCCCACTTTGATGATATCAGCCCCAGATAGGATCAGCTCTTCCACCATCTCTCCTGTTACTACATTCCCTGCCTGAGACAAAGCAATTGAAACAGGGCACTCTGAGGGTTAAAAATGAGAGGGGAGGTTGTGTGCTCTCATACACGCCAAGCCTGAACCATAACCTTCCAACATTATTACAAAGAAGGGTACCTAGGTTCCCTCTACTGGGAAAGGACTGCTTCCCAAGCTGAGGTAAGGGGGTGAGTGGCCAGTGTCACTGTTGCACTAGGGGTAAAGCTGGAGCCCAACTGGACCAAGGGCAGAGCTGACTTACGGTAGATTATCTCCCTGTTCTTTCCAAGAGACCCAAACATACCCTGTCCTTATGCTGTTATGCCATAAAATCTCTGACTTCAGAGAAAGGAAAAGACATAGTAATGTAAGCTAAATACCTATCTGCATAGCTGGATTTACTTTGTATAGACAGTACAGAGAGACCCCTTGAGGCTGTGGAGAAAACGAGGCCTTGTCATCAGTCCCCTAAGCTTATAAAAAAAATAAAACTCTTCCATGCAACCCCTTTAATATGATTCTAGTACATGTCCGCTTCAGTAGGCAGATGAATATATATCATAGATATGTACAAGGCATGTGTTGAGGGACAGAGATAACTGCACTAACCAATCTAAACATTTTAAGCATGGAACCATGGGTTATCACCCAGTGACATGATTCAGTAGACTAGGAAAATGGTAATGCAGCACAGGAGAAATGAACTGAAACAAAATGGGAGTGTCAGGAAGGAGTGAAAGGAGGAATGTACTAACTACAGGGTAACAGAAACATACCATGATGGTGTGTTCGGGGAAGCGCTTCCGCACATCCTTTACAAACTCAACAAAGTGTTCAGAGTAGCCGTTTGCCACGTCCAGGCATATATACTTCACCTGGGGAATAGCTTCCAGGATCTGTTCCAGCTGCTCAAAGTCCGAAGAGCCTGTGCCTGAGCTGGCAGCTAAATGCTATGAAGAAAACAGGGCCACTGTGTGTCACAAATGACCCAGTGAGCAGCCAGCAGAGGAAGGTGAGGGTTCGTCCCCAGGAAGCCAAAAAGAGATGCTTGGAAAACTGGGATAAGGAAGGGATCAGGAAAGGACCAGCATTACCTCAAGACAGTCAGGATTCTGGCTAGCAAATTCTTTCCACTGCTGGAGGCTGTAGTGTTTATGGACAGCTGTGAAGAGGGAGAACTGGGGAGAAGAAAGAGCCATCAAAAAGGAGAGAACTTCACTAGCATCTCTTTTGCTAGAAATAGATCTTTATAGTATTCTATTTGAGGAGAAATAGCCTGAAATTTGGAAAACAACTTGAAGAAACTGCTGGTTGCGCTGGAATTTTAGTTTAACTATTATTCTCCCTACAAATACCAGTAGGGCTTTATACCATAAGCCGATGCTTGTCCAACACTAAGTACTAAGTCATCTGGATTGGATTTTACCTATCCGCACATACAGGGCTTCTGATTTAAAAGGTAACGAAGAGGGCAGCCTGGGTGGCCCAGCGGTTTAGCGCCACCTTCAGCCCAGGGCGTGATCCTGGAGACCCGGGATCGAGTCCCACGTCAGGCTTCCTGTGTGGAGCCTGCTTCTCCCTCTGCTTCTCTCTCTCATGAATAAATAAAATCTTTTAAAAATAATAAAAAAAAATTTTAAATGGTGGTAAAGGGGCACCTAGGTGGCACAGTTGGTTAAGCATCTGACTTGGTTTTCAGCTCAGGTCATGATCTCAGGGTCGTGAGATTAAGCCCATGTTGGGTTCTCTGCTCAGCACAAACTCTGCTTGAGATTCTCCCTATGTCTCTCCCACTCATGCTCGCTTGCTCCCTTGCTCTCAAATCTTAAGAAAAAAAAAAAAAAAAAGGTAACAAAGGCAAGCTGTTGGTGCAGTGGGACAAGTAGCAGACAAGAAAGAACCATGAAGAGGTTGGATGGAGCCAATGTCTGCTTGCACTGATTCAGCCCCTCCCCCTATGGTAACCTAGTACTGAACTAACCTATTTGGTATCTTCTGGTTCGTTTACTGGCAGTAATTCAGTGAGTCTAAATGCTCACAAAAAATAAGGCCTTAATGGAGCCAATAAGGTACTACCCTATTCTTTCTTCATGTCCACTGGGGTAAAGGACAAATTTTTCTGGAGACATGGACAACCTAAAACGTCCATTTCATTCCATGTACTTAAGTCAACAAAGTTCAAGGATACAATTAACTCACCAGATTTGTATTCTCTAGGTCAACAAATTCCAAAACAATATCCCAATACTTTGAGAAAGGCACTCAAAGGCCACTGTTAATGAATGAAAATTTTAAATGAAGTATTTAAAAATAAAAAATAAAGATTTTATTCTTAAGTAATCTCTATACCCAAGGTGGGGTATGAACTCACAACCCTAAGATCAAGAGTTACATGCTCCACTGACTGAGCCAGCCAGGCACCCCAGTGCTTGTGCTTTATTTTTATTATTTTTTAAAAGATTTTATTTATTGGGGATACCTGGATGGCTCAGCGGTTGGGCGTCTGCCTTCGGCCCAGGGCGTGGTCCTGGAGTCCTGGGATCGAGTCCCACGTCGGGCTCCCTGCATGGAGCCTGCTTCTCTCTCTGCCTGTGTCTCTGCCTCTCTCTCTCTGTGTCTCTCATGAATAAATAAATAAAATCTTTTTTATTCATGAGAGACACACACACAGAGGCGCAGAGACATAGGCATAGGGAGAAGCAGGCTCCCCGCAGGGAGCCTGACGTGGGACTCCATCCCCAAACCGCTAGACCCTGGGATCACACCCTAAGCCAAAGGCAGACCCTCAACCACTGAGCCACCCAGGCATTCCACTAGTGCTTGTGGTTTAAAAGTTCAGGCATGCAAATAGACAAGAGAGCGGTTGGCAGGGATAGCTCAAGTCTTCCAAATGACAAATCCAAGGAAGTCAAGTATCAGCTAGGAGTAAGGAAGTGCTATTGCTGTACTCACTCATCAACACTACCTAGCTAAAGCTGGTACTGAATTTGCTTTCTCAGCAACACTCTGCCATCAATATGCTGATACACACAAAAATCACGAGGTCAGTAGACCTTGGAGATATACTGGTATAGTGTGACATGATGAGCACATCCAATTACATACCAAGCTAGAGATCTAGAAAAAAATATTTACATCCAACCTTATTATTACTATGAAATTTGGCTATACCTCTAAAATCTATTTTTTTTAGCATTCATCAGCGGTACTGAAAGCCAGTCTCAAAGCATTAAGACAGTCCCCACAAAGTCCACGTATTATTCCAGCACGTTTGTTAATGCTGAAGTCAGATTCACTATTCCTCAACTCTACTGGGCAGAGCAGGTGGACAATGGACAAGAAGATTCCTAAGCAGCTAGTGAATTGCAACAGTAATAAAGTACTAAAACTGTATAACTATCAACCTAAGAGAAGTGAACAACAGACATTCCACAAAGACTTACAGCGATCAAAAAGAGAGAAAGGATGATGAAGTCCTTAAGGCTAACAGAGCCTTAAGCAGCAGCAGAATCCAACAATGAGGGCTACATGGATTAACCAGAAGAATGCATATGTTCTTTGAGTGCCCACAGTATCTATCTACCTTCTCAGCTACAAGTATAGAGGCAGGTAATATTACTGACAGGAGCAGCATCTTCTATTTTCAAAGTGAACAATAACCTGTACATAAGAAAAACACATTCCATTTTGGGCACATCCCAGCAACTCCCAGAAACCTAAGACTTACAGAAGAGGAAGATTTAAAAAAAAATAAAAATTGAAAAAGGATAGTACACATGAAAGAAAATTAATAGCTGCTTCTTCTCTAGGATCTTCTAGCTACGAATTTTTGGACACTCAAACTGTATTTAGTTTCTGACTAAAACAGTGGATATTTTGTGTCCTAAACAACAGTGTTAAATGGAGGGATGAATGTGATTTGGAGGGGATGATGATCTGGGAGGTGGGAAAAGTTGGCAGGGTATGTAAACTGCTGTACAGGAGAAAAGGAAAAGTTATGTTTATGTATCAGAAAAATGGGGCAAAACTTAGCTTTGAATTTTATTAATTCACATGTGCCTTTGAGCTTACCAGATAAAGGGCATCAGTATTGGATAAAATGGATAAAAGTAAATTGGAGCATCCTAACTTACTTGCCAGATAGCTGACTTGGGATGGGGGTGGGGATGCAAATACCTCTGCAGTCGGCCCACACAACTGGTCATCAGTGAGGAACGTACATAAGGGAAGTCCTACCTTACAGAGAACCTTGGCCATCTCAAAGGTGCCCACAGTATCCATGTTGGCAGCAATGATGGGGATCCCAGTGTACACCTGCTTTGAGTTCCGAAATGAAAAGGATCTTGTGAGATCCACCTGCAGATAGGAAGAGGAAACAGCATTTCATCCATCAAATAAACGAGTATTGTAGGAGGACAAGAACCAGGAATCATTCTCAGTCCTGGCATACCAGGAGCTTGGGGTCAAGACAGTGCAACTAGAAAAGCAGGCTCACCTCACTTCGAGACTTAAGGGTACTGCGTTTGGGCCTCAACAAGACATCCTTGAAGTCCAGTTTGATGTCACTGTCGATGTGAGGCATGATGGGGACCTTGGAGTAGCAACAGATCTGAAAACTGGAAAGTAAGAAAAGTCAGGTGTTGGGGGGATCTGAACCAATCTCCCCATAGGCCTTAATGCTAATGGCATGGCTCATCTTTCTCCTCGCTTAAATCATGGAAGATCAGGGCATTCGCTGAGGCATGGTCCCTCAAGTCTGTCACCTCTGATCTGTCCTTGGTTGCAATTACCCGTGGTATTTCCGTCCCAGGTACTATTTGTTGGGGAGAATTAGGATGGAGTCGTGAATGACCCCCAAAATGTGCATTCCTTGTCCCCATTACTCTTCCTTCTACCCCTTCAAAGAGCAATTCGGGGTAAGAGGATGATTTGGGGGTGAGTAGGAATAGGGGGCGTATTCCCACAATTAGTTTCCGGAATAGGGGTACTCACTTCCTGTCGCCGTGGCCCAGGCGGCAGTTGACCACAGTAGCCTTGCTTAGCAACTAGCCTCGTGCAGCCCCGCAGAGCCTTGTGGGCCGTGCCAACACGTTCCGCTAAATGCGGGCGGTGAGGATTAATTGGAGAATCCCGGTTTCGGCAGCGGCAGTGCGCGGTCTTCTGGGTAACAGGGTTCACAACCGAGCTTGCAGTGGGCTCCGAGGGGCGGAAGACTACGACTCCCAGGGTGGAGCGGGTGGAGCTGTCCCCTGGCATGATGGGAGAAGTAGTTCGTTTCGAGCCCGCTTTCCAAGCCCCGGCTCGCTAGGGACTCTAAGAATCGCGGAGGCGTCATCTCTGCTGTAACTAAACCGCCGCCTTCTTTTTATTTACGACACCACTAAAACGAAACGCGGGAACATTCCTGAGCTTTTCGGGAACCCGGTGGAAAGAAGTTTGGAGGGGGAGGGAGAGGAAGGGAAGGGGTGGAGCCAGGCAGTGACCCGGAAGCAGAAGTGACTTCCACAGGCGGATTGCTGGGGAGCGGCAGCGGCGACCGCAGCGGTGGAAGCAGCAAATTATCTGTGTGCAGCTCAAAACTGGGAAGAAGATGCTAATTAAAGTGAAGGTGGGAGCACCTCCAGCCTTGCCAAGACGCTGTGGTACTGGGCTGGCCGCTGTGCCTTGCGGGAGAAGCAGGGAAGGAAAACCACGCCTTTCCCGAGCCTGGAGGGTGCTGACAGCCTCAGGGTTCCGCGCGAGGGGTGATGGGAAGTGCCCCCCCCCCAAGAGGGCTTTGAGGGCTGGGGACCCCCCCCCCCCCACGAATACCGGGTCGGGTCCTGCTTTCTCACCAGGACTGTGCCATGACCCAGACGGAGGCCGCCTTTGTCTGGGGTCTCGCTCTCCTAGAACCCCCACGGTCATAGAGAAGGCCAAGCAGCCGCCTGGCTCGCCTTCTCGGATTCTTGGAATAAGCTGTAATCTCCATTCTGCATTGCCCTTCTTACCTGCTTCTCCCAGCCCCTAACGCAACTGCTTCCAAGCACGGCACAAACACGTTAGCCTGGGGCACCGAGGGCCTCTCAGGAGCTAGACTGTAAGCCTTTGCTGGCTGTCGCCAATGTGCGGTGTCTCAGCCGGCCTTCAGGAACCAAAGCTGGGAGTGTGTTCAGTCAGCACCTGCCTTTCTGAGCCGGGCCTCCTGGACCAGCCTCACTTCCTTGACTGAGGCAGGTTAGTTATCCGTGCCCTGGTTCTTGGTACTGGTAGCGTTTCTTCCATCTCCATCTCTCGCGTGATTCTTCACCAATTCCCGACTCTCATTAGTCCTATCTGCTATTGCTTCTTTCGTACCTACAGACCGAGAGAGAAACTAAAAATTGACGCAGTGCAACATTAGTTTGACCTTTTGACTGCTGAGTAAGTCTGTTGTTTCATCAGCTCTTTAGTATATTTACCATGCTTAACAGCCATTCTTAACCTCTTCAGTCTTTCCAACTCATTTCTTAGCTGAGGATTGAGGCCAAAGAGCATGTTAAAAATCATGGTTTTTCAAACTTTGATTAATTAGACTAAAAGTCACTAATTGCGAGATCAATTCAGTGGGTCTCAAGCAACATTAAAAGAAAGAAAATAGAAATATCAGGATATTGTTTTGTGAAATTTTTGTTCTCGTCCTATATATGTATATGTTCAATATATATGAAACACGTTTGTGTTATTAGCCTGTATGTAATTCTTAGTGTGAGTCACTGTCGAAGTCTGAGAAACACTAGAATACTTTTGAATATGGATTCTCACATCCTCTTAGAGGTTATTAGTCATGTTCAGGGTTTTGTAAACTTCTAAAAATCTCAACCTACACTAAGAAAATCTTACTAATGTCCCGTAGAAACACAAAAAACTTACCATATGTGGTAATGCTCTGATATTTCCAGTTCCATTCTAGGTAGATTTCATAACTCACTGATGGATTGAGACCTGCAGTTTTAAAAAAACCACTGCGTTCTGGTTGGGTTTTTCACTTTAAACGTGCACAAGAATCACCTGGGGATTTTGTTATGCTGATTCTAATTCCGTGGGTCTGCGGTGAGCCCTGAGAGTCTGTATTTCTAACATGCTCTTGGGTGATGCTGGTGCTGCTTGTCTGGGGACTACTAAGAGATTTTGTCTCTTTGAATCCATTTTTTGTTTAGTATTTCTCTAAAATTTTAAGTCTCCTTTCCTGAAACACTTTTCTTTGTGCCTCCACAAACAGGTTTCTGTGTCCTTCATCTTTTTTGTTAACTGCATTTTTAAAAATAGGTTAAATGCAAACGAAAGCAATTAGTTAGCTCTTCTTTACTATAGGTTTTTTTTTTTTTTACTATAGGTTTTTATTAGCACAGTTCCTTTGTGAATTCTTCAACTGTCATCTCCATGTAGCTAATTTTTCCCATATCTCCTTCTGCAGTCCTTTACAACAAAATCTCTCCTGATTTGTCTTCTCTTGATGTCTCATCTCTGAGAAATTAAATACATCATCTTCAGCCTTAGGCCATCTTTCCAGTACTCATCTCATACTGATCCTGTCAATCTACCAGGTATCTGGAACCCAGTTCTTTAGAGTCATTGTTCGCTTACAGAACCTAATTTTTCCTTTGAGAACTTCTTTTTTACTTGACTTTCTTTCCATTCCCATTACCCTTATTCTGGTCTAGGGTTTCATTAATTGATGTCTTTATTTCTCTGTAATACTTCCAACCAGGTTTTCCTACTATGTAGACTCTAAAGTTCAGAGTCTAAGCTGAAACATGGCATACAAAAAAAAAAAAAATCACTGTACAGGTCTTCTTTAAATTTCTTTCTCTTGTGGCTCAGCGGTTTAGCACCTGCCTTTGGCCCAAGGCATGATCCTGTGTTCTGGATCGAGTCCCACATCAGACTCCCTGCGTAGAGCCTGCTTCTCCCTCTGCGTCTCTGTGTGTGTGTGTGTGTGTGTGTCTCATGAATAAATAAATAAAATCTTTAAAATTTTTTTCTTTTTTTCTTTTCTTATTTATTTGCAAGCGCATGCAAAAGTGGGGGGAGGAGGAGAAGCTAACTCCCCACTGAGCCAGGATCTTGGGATCTGACCTGTTCTGAAGGCAGACGCTTAACCAACTGACCCATTCAGACGCCCCTTCTTTAAATAATCTTTTTTTTATTTTAGTACTCCTTGGCCCCACATCCTGCATCAGGATCTAGAACATTTTCCCCCATACCCTGTGAAAATCCCATAGGTTAGTTTTGCTTGTTTTTGAATTTCATATAAATGGAGTTATAGGATATGTAATTTTATGTCTAGTTTCTTTCACTCAGCATTGTGTCCGTTGTCGTATCTGTGTAGTTCCTTCTTACTGTGTAGTATTACATTGAATGACTATTCACAATTTGTTTAGCCATTCTCCTGTAGATGGACATTTGAGTTGTTTCCTGTTTCTGGCTATTATGAAGATGGCTTCTATGAACATTGTTATACAAGTTCTTTTGTAGACATATATTTTCATTTCCTTTGGGTATATACCTGTTAAGGGAATTACTGAGTCATGTGGTAAATCTATGTAAATTTAAAACATACTGCCAAACAGTTCTCCAAGGGGTTGTACCATTTTACATTCCCATTTGCAGTGAATAAGCATTCCAGCTCCTTTATATCCTAGCTAATTTTTAGTCATGTCCTTTTTATTTTAGCTATTAAACTAGGTGTGAAATGTTAATTTCATTCAGGCTCTTTTTTTTTTTTTTTTTAAGGTTTTATTCATTTGAGGGAGAGTATAGGGAGGAGCAGAGGGGGGAAGAGAAAGCAACACTACCTGCTGAATGGTGAACCTGAGGCTGCGCTCAATCCCAGGACCTTGAGGTCCTGACCTGAGCCAAAGGCAGACACTTAACCGACTAAGCCACCCAGGAGCCCTTCATTCAGATGTAAACTGATGTGATTTCACCCACCATAGCACTTTGGCATTATACTTTGTGTTTGGATAGTAATATTCAATATGGCATTTCCTTTTATACTGGTTCTATTCATTGTATGCCTCACCGTTTCTTGGTTGTAAATCTTTACTTGGAAAAAGATCATTGGTGGGCACCTGGGTGACTCACTTGGTTAAATGCCTTCTGCTCAGGTCATGCTCCCAGGGTCTTGAGATCAAGCCCCATGTTGGGCTCTCTGCTCAGCAGGGACCCTGTTTTTCCCTCTCCCTCTGCCTGCCGCTAGCACCCTGCTGCTTGTGCTTTGTCAAATAAATAAATTAAAATCTTAAAAAAAAAGAGATTGTTGGCAAGAGCTGGATCACTTAATTTCTTTTATATCCTCTCTGGTGCCTAAAGCAGTATGTTGGGTTTAGGTTCATCATTGACTTGCTAAACAGTATTGAATGTATTCCGAAGTCACAGTGACCAGATATGGGGGAAGAAACGCACTAAGACGTATCAAGAATGTCTTTTAAAATTGTCCAGTTCTTTGAATTTTAATTATGTACAATTTCAAACATATACAACAAGAGAGCGGAGGATATAAAGCACCTCATATCCAGCTTCGAAAACTATCACCTCATGGCCAATCTTAATTATATTCACTAACTTTCCTTATCTGATGTTTTTTTTTCTTACCTGATGTTTTAAGAAGCAAATCCCAAATAGCATAGCATGTGTTATTTGTATGTATTTAGTATTTATATGTAAAAAAAGGACTTTTTTTCCTAAAGTAACTATAATTATCACATCTAAATGATTAAGTGAGTTCTCACTATCCTCAAATGTATCCCATTCTCTCATTTGTTTTGTACAGTTTGAATGTGAGTCCAACTAAGATCCACATGTTGCATTTGGTTGATAGGGATTTTAAGTGTTTTTCAAAAAACCTGTAATTCCTCCTTTTTTCCCTTTTTGCTGAATAAACTAGGTGGTGCGATAGTCTCCCACAGTTTGGATTTTGCTGATTACATTCCTATGCTGGCTTTTTTGTTTTTAAAGATAGATTTATTTATTTATTATTATTTTTTATTTATAAAAGAGGGAAGAGAAGCAGGCTTCATGCAGAGAGCCCAGTGAGGGACTTGATCCCAGGACTTCAGCAGACACTCAACTGCTGAGCCACCAGGCCTCCCGACTTATTTTTAGAGAGCGAGAGAGAGCGGGAGCAAGCACTCACAATCCCAAGCGGACTCCCTGCTGAGCAGGGAGCCTGAGGTAGGGTTCCACCGCAAGACCCTGAAAACATGACCTGAGCTGAAATGAAGAGTCGATGCTCAACCAACTGAACCACCCAGGCCGCTCTTCCCATGTTGATTTTTAATATATATTCCTTCAGTATTTCCTGTTGATTGGTAATAACATCTAGAAGCTTGATTTGTCTTTTGTATGTGTTCTTGTGAGAATAATTTATAGACGGTTGTATGGTATGGAATTCTGTCAACTTGTTTTGCATTCTATGATGTTAGTCATTGCCTAGGTCTATTATAATTCTTTGGTGATTACAAAATGGGGATGTCTAATTTTATTGTTACTTCTCATATTAGCTGGAATGCTCTAACGGTACCTATTAGTCACATGGGCTATTGAGCGCTTCTTGACAAGTTGCTAGTGAGACTGAGTTACTAATTTTTTTTGTATTTAATTTTACTTATATAAATATAAAGCCTGAGACTTTAGTCAGTGAAAAACTTAAGTATGCTTGGAACAAGTTAGGTATGTAAATCTGCTTTTTCAGTTGTAAATTATGAAATTTAAATACAGATCAGGTGTTTCAGATGAAAATTTACCATCTGAATTGAGACATGCTTGCAAGTATGAAAAGCACACAGAAATTTGAACATTTGGTTAGAACAGAAGAATGCAAAATATATTGTTTTACATTGATTATACATTGAATTGATAATATTTTGAATATATTGGGTTTAAGAATATTAAAGTTAATTTGACCTTTTAAAAATGTGACTGCTAGTATATTTAAAATTGTATGTGTGGTTTGCGTTACATTTACATCTCTTGGACAGTGCTGCTTTACAGAATCCTTTTCTTACACTATCATCAAGGACATTGTTCTAAAAATAATATTTTTCTCATTACAATGTATCCATGATATTAAAAAAAATGAAAAATACAGAAATGCACAAGTGATACAATTAAAGGATCCATAATCTCACAACTCAAGATAAAAACATTCATGAATGGGATCCCTGGGTGGCGCAGCGTTTTGGCGCCTGCCTTTTGCCCAGGGCGCGATCCTGGAGACCCGGGATCGAATCCCACGTCGGGCTCCCGGTGCATGGAGCCTGCTTCTCCCTCTGCCTATGTCTCTGCCTCTCCCTCTCTCTCTCTGTGTGACTATCATAAATTAAAAAAAAAAAAAAAAACATTCATGAATATTATCTTTCCAAATTTTTTTTGAAACCATATGTATGGATACACATATATATTTTGTGGTTTTTTTTTTAAACAAAATTGGACTTATATCCTTATTCCACACATTATTTGAGGATTATGTAATTTTCCCTCTGTCATAATTTATTTAACCCTCAGTTGTTTGATATTTAGGTTGATTGTAATTTTTCAGTACCGAAAGGCTATAATGACCATTGTCATAGATAACACTTTTTAACAGTCATGATTATCTTCCTGAAAGTGTTGTTATGGGGACACCACTTTGCCAGATTGTTCTTTGGATATATAAGCTTCTACAGTCAGAAACAAAGGCCAGTCCTTAGAGTTTTAAATTTTACAAACCAGTAATTTTTTTTTTCTTAATGTCGTTAGGTCCAAGCATCCTAGCCTTGGGAGAGCAGTTCTTTTAGCATTTTTTTTTTTTCAGGATTTTATTTGAGAGAGCGCATGAGTAGGAGAAGGGACAAAGGGAGAGGGAGAAGCAGACTCCCCTCTGAGCAGGGAGTACAATGGAAGCAGGACTCAGTCCCAGGACTCTGGGGCCACCAACTGAGCCAAAGGCAGACCCTTAACCAACCGAGCCACCCAGGCGCCCCTCTAAGGGTACTTAATACTCTTTAAAATTTCTTATTTTAAATCAGAATAAGTATTTGTTTATTATAAATGTCATGGAGTATATTTTTATTAGAAATTTTAATAGTGCAGATAAAGGGAAAGTTACCCTTGATAAACCCTCTCCTCAGTGCTACTCTCCTCAAAGATAATTACTGTTACAGGAGATATGTATGCTTTTAATCCTTTCTTCTATGCAAATACATATGTATATAGCTACAAATGGAAAATGATACTTAATTATACATTCTTTAGATCTTTCTGTGTTGGTATACAAACTGTTGCTAATGAATACTTCATTCTGTACCATAGTTGAATAGTTTATTAATAGGCACTAGGCTGTTCCTAATGGTTTACAGTAAACCTGCTTAATAAACGTGTTCTTCTTGGGATATTTGCTCAAGTTTCAGGTTTTTCCTTTAAGTTAGTTAATCTAGAAATAGATTATCTGCTTGAAGAATTTTTGCATTTAAAGTATTAAGATCAGGGCACCTGGGTGGCTCGGTTGGTTGTCTGCCTTCAGCTCAGGTCCTGATCCCACAGTCCTGGGATTGAGTCCGGCTTAATGCTCCTTGCTCAGCAGGGAATCTGCTTCTTCCTCTGCCCCTCCCCACTGTGCACTCTTTCTCACTCTCAAAATAAATAAAATCTTTTTAAAAAATAAAGTATTAAGATCAATAAAGTGAAATAATTTATGAATGACACAGAATTGCAAACTTTTCATTTTGTCCGAAAGGGCTTAAAGAAAACACCGTATGTTGTTTCTATCATTCAGAACTTTTTTAGTTTTTATTTATTTTTAATTTTTAGGAAAGATTTTATTTTAGAGAACATGGGGAGGGGCAGAAGGAAAGGGAGAGAGAATCTCAAGCCGACTCCTAGCTGAGCACAGAGCCTGACTCAGGCCTCCATCTCATGACCCTGAGATCATGCGTGACCTTAGCCCAAATCAAGAGTTGAACACTTAGCCAACTGAGTCTCCCAGCTGCCCTGAATCTATTTTTATGAAAAATCTCACTTTTGTCATTTTTCCCATAAATTGTCACACAGCTCAGCTTGGGTTGGGGTAGAATCTTGAGAATCACTGTTGTAATTTATTCTTTCGCACCCAAATAAATCTAAAGGAGTTACTCTTGGATCTTTAAAAAATATTAAAAAAAATTTTTTTTTTACTGAACTGATTCTCATGGTTGAGAAATTAGGTCCTAAGTACTGTCATCATGCTGATCAATGTGAATACCATAAGTAGAAACCATATGTTATTTTTTTAACCTATCACAGCATACATTGGGTCCCAAAACCAGACCAGTGAGACTCAGGCAGTACTGCGTACAGAGCTTTAAAAAAAAAAAAATTGGGCACAGGCACTGGGACCAGAGAGTGTGTTTGGGTCTACACTCTCCTTTTGATTTCATAGGCATGCTTTTTAACTTATTTAAGCCCCATTTTCATCTATAAAATGGTAATAGTGATAGTACATATCTCATGAATACTTACAAGGATTAAATATATTGACGCACTTAGGGGAGTTTCTGGCTGTTGGAAAGTGTTAATTAAATGTTGGCTGTGGTCATAATGTAATCATTTGTGTGCTTAGCCCTTTCACAAATACTCATCCTTTATGTGTCAAACTGTGCTTTGTGCTTAGATTAGGAAGATGAATTTCTGTTTTTTCTGAAGGTCGGAGTGTAAATTAGAGGGTTTGACACTTAAACAACTAGCAATAATATTAAAGTGCGCTGGGAACCAGTCATCAATTCTAAAGGGTCCTTGAACATTTGGGAAAGAGTGGGGGAGGGTATGGGAACAAGGAAAACAGTAGAAACAAAGAAATATTCCTAATCAGGCTGGTGTGGTCTGGATTACTGTAGACTGGTGGAGATAGAGCTTTAAGAGCAAGGATGAAAAAAAAAAGCAAGGATGAATGGGAGATTAAATTAGATGAAGCACAACATTTTATTATTATTTTAATTTATTTATTCATAGAGACACACACACACACACACAGAGGCAGAGACACAGGCAGAGGGAGAAGCAGGTACCATACAGAGAGCCCGATTTGGGACTCGATCCCGGGTCTCCAGGATCACGCCCTGGGCTGCAGGCAGCGCTAAACCGCTGCACCACCGGGGCTGCCCGAAGCACAACATTTTAAAGTATACAATCAGTTTAATTATTACATGTATTAGCAGCTTTTAGCCTGTGGAAGAAGTCAAGACTAGAGCTGCAATTTAGTACTTAGGTAGAAGTCTGGAGAAGTTACAGGAGAATGGAATATTGAATTTTAGTGTTCCTTAAAAAGCTGGGACGCCTGGGTGGCTCAGTCAGTTAAGTGTCTGACTTCATCTCAGGTAGTGATCTCAGGGTCCTGGGATCAAGCCCACGTTGGGCTCCCTGCTCAGTGGGGAGCCTGCTTCTCCTTTTCCCTCTGCCCCTCCCCCTGCTTATGCTTGCTCGCTTTCTTCAAATGAATAAAATTTTTAAAAAACAACTACAAAAAGCTGGTTAGAGGTGGTCTCTGGTGTCCCTGAGAATTTTAAAAATTATATGTTAATTGCTAGCTTTAATAAGGAAACAAAAGCGTCCTGATTCAAAGGCATGCTGTCCTTAGGACATCTCTTAACTGCTATCTCATCAAAGGAATGCCAATATTCTCTTGGATTCTAATGAGGTGGAGTGGGAAGATGGGGGGCGGGTAAAATGGTTCACAGCATCTTGTCCTATCAAAACTGTCTACAGCCTAAAAGTGTTTGATAAATACAGGTATGGGTCACATTCTTCAAGCAGCTTTGCCTCGAACATCCTTCTCTCAGGAGTTGTAGATCCCCAGAGACCAGAGCAGGGTGTTTTATCTAGAAAACTTGTACGTTAGGCTGTAGGACTCATAAAACACTTGCCTGTTTCAGACGCTGACCGGAAAGGAGATTGAGATTGACATTGAACCCACAGACAAGGTAATATATGGCCAATACTTCATGCCTGTCTCCCTACATGCACATTTGTGTGGATATGCTGATGAACTCAGTCCTTTTCCCTCTCATGCCATCTGCATAGCTCTTGTTCTTTCCACTTCCATGGTTCTACCCCTTAGCAGTCCCTGATTACTTGTACCCCTAAAGGTGGAGCGAATCAAGGAGCGTGTGGAGGAGAAAGAGGGAATCCCCCCACAGCAGCAGCGGCTCATCTACAGTGGAAAACAGATGTGAGTTTGACATGGGTATGAGGTGTGGCAATTTTACGTGAGGTTGAGGGAGCAAATACTGGAGGAGGAGCCTCAGATCCTTTGAAGCCTATGAATTCCTTCTCAGAATAAGATTTTTGCAGACATGAAATACATAGATTTACAAAATTATATTGAGATACAGTTCTCAAACTACTAAAAACAAGTTTGTGATATAATATGCAGTTTATTAATACATTAAGATCTAATAGTGGGTCTAATTACCATAATTTTGACATTTTCAAAATATTTGCAAACAGTTGTAATATGATATGAAAATAATTTCTGTTGTTAACAGGTGGCTCATGTTGCTAATACCACTGTGGGTTTTTTTGCCTATGTTCACAATTAAAAATATCAAATGTCAGTTAAGGGTTAGTAAAAATAAAGATGTAATTTTTTTTTTCTCACCTGAGTTCATAAACCAGGAAAAAGACTTAAGAAACCCAGTGTTAGAATCCTGTTCTAGATGGTATTTCTAAGGTCTTTTTTCCCCCCCCTCTTCCTGCAGGAATGATGAGAAGACAGCAGCTGATTACAAGATCCTAGGTGGTTCGGTCCTCCACCTGGTGTTGGCTCTGAGAGGAGGAGGTGGTCTTAGGCAGTGATGGGCCCTCCCTCCATTTTACCTCCTTACCCTGTCGCTCATAATGAGGCACCATATATCCTCTCACTCTGTGGGATACCAGAGCCACTGCCCCCTCTCCTGGATGCCCAGTCTTGTTTGGTGGGAGACGGTGAGGACCCTAGGATGCAGTGTTCCTGGCCCAAAGGGCCCTTGCTGGCTATTGGGTTTTAGTTTGCAGTCCTGTGTGCTTCCCTCTCTTACGGCCATGTCCCTAGTTGTCAATAAAATATTTCCTAACCTCCTGGAATCTTTCTTGTATTGCACAAATGTGACTGAAATGGGCCCTGTTCACACTCATTTACACCTCTGAAGAAGTAGGACAATGGAGGGGAATGTGCCCTTGGGGTGGGGATTATCAGACTTTAGGAAAGTCCACTCTAGGTGGTCTGGAGCCGGGGCTTACTAGCTCAGGAGATCTAATTGCTGGCATCTCTTCCCAATCCCCTAAGTGATTTTCATGCTGGTAGCTTGAAATTGGCCACAAGTGGCAAACAATGCAAACTGGTTGTCACACATTTACCAGTATGCTACTGATGTGGGAGGTAGAAACCGGGACGGTGATTCCCATTGTAGCCCTACTGGACATTTGGGCCTGATTCCAGAAGGGCTTCAGTCAAGGGCTTTACGAACACTACAGTTGTTGTGGCTAGAGTGCTGCTCGCGGCTCCGGGGGCTACACTTGTAGAGAGAGGCAGATTTGGAGAAAGGTTGGGGGGTGACAAGCTCTGGGTCGCTTAGGTCTCAGTTGGTAAGATAAAGTGCCAAAGGCTCCTCTCCCTGGCTTCACTAGTTTAGCCCCTGCGGCCAGGCTGGGCGGAGTGGAGAAGTAAGGAGGCAGGTGCCTCGGAGAGGCCGGCCCCGGCCGTGGCGCCGGCACTGTGCCGCGCTCCCTCCCCCGCTCCCCCAGCAGACGGCGCTCGGGCGCGGTCTCCAGGCCGACGGCCGCAGCCCCGGCCGCGCCGCGCCAGTCGCCGGCTCTCCGAGGCAGGCGGGGCAGGGCTAGCCGCCGCGAAGAGCCTCGCCTCGGAGCGCGCGGCCGGCCGGCCCGGCCATGGCGCGGCTCCCGAAGCTGGCGGTCTTCGATCTCGGTGAGGGACGGCCTGGGACGGCCTGGGACGGGCCTGGGGACGGGCCTGGGGACGGGCCTGGGGAGCTCTCCTTTTCCAGACCCCGGCCGCAGCGCCCGAGGCCTGCGCGCTCCGAGCCTGAGCCCGCCTCCGTCCTCCCGCAGATTACACGCTCTGGCCGTTCTGGGTGGACACGCACGTAGACCCCCCGTTCCACAGGAGCAGGTGAGGCGGCGCTGGCGGGGCGGGCGGCGGCCGGGGCTGGCCGGGCCGCGGCTGGCCGGCCGCGGCTGAGCGCGCTCTCGCCCTCCAGCGACGGGGCCGTCCGGGATAGGCGGGGCCAGGCCGTCCGACTGTACCCGGAGGTGCCTGACGTCCTGCAGCAGTTGCAGGACCTGGACGTGCCCGTCGCGGCCGCTTCTCGGTAAGGAGAGCCCCTGAAGAACGCCGCCGGCCTCACGCCGGGAGACGCGTGCGGGGGACGTCCCGCGGAACGCGGTGGCTGCAAGAACCTGGGCGGTGCAGATTTGCACCTCTTTGCGTATCTGTCTAAGGTACCGTCTCCGGTGCCTTTTGTTTATTAAACATTGGCCCAGCGCCGCCTGTGTCAGACGGGGACGCTAGGGAGTTGAGTGAGGACCGAGGGTGCCTACCTATCCCAGAAAAATAACAAGTTGATTTCCCCTTGGTTCAGCATAACTTGGCTTGCAGCCCAGGCCTTCCGGATCCCATCTAGGACACTTTTTTGTAGGACGGGGGAGATCGAAGGGGCCAACCAGCTACTGGAGCTCTTTGGCCTTGACAGATATTTTGTTCATCGGGAAATCTATCCAGGCAGCAAGGTCACCCACTTTGAGAGGTATGCGGAGGTAAGGGTAGGAACGGGGAGACCAGAGAGGAGGAAGGAGCTAAGAAGCCCGCGTGGCCCTTCCCTGCCCCTCCTCGCACAGGTTGCAGCAGAAGACTGGAGTTGTTTTCTCCCAGATGATCTTCTTTGATGACGAGAAGCGGAATATCGTGGACGTCAGCAAACTAGGTACTGAGCGGTGAGATTAGCCCTTTGGGGGATGAGGAGAAAGGGTTACTATGAGGGGTTAGGCAGGTAGGCACAGGATGGGCAGTTTGCATGATAGCCTTGGGTGAGAGGACGACAAGGCCTGATGAAATGTGGCTTATTTTCTTTCTAGGAGTTACCTGCATTCATGTCCAGAATGGAATGAATCTTCAAACCCTAACTCAAGGACTAGAGACATTTGCAAAGGCCCAAGCTGGGCCCTGAGATCCAGGCCTGTGGATGAGCCTCATTTGAGGCATAAAACTGAAAGGAAATCAGGAAGGCATTTTCAGGTGTATTTGTAAATTATTAAAGTATGTTTGTGTGCGACGGAGGAGAGCTTCCGGCTTGAATCTACTTTTCTAGCGTTGTAGCTGGCATCTGTTATCGGTTATCCGGAGGGGCCAAGAGCAGAGCTAGTGGCCTTAGGCTTCATGGGGGCACTCCCGACTGTGCCCCCCTTGTGCTCGCCCGGTCCGCACCCCGTTTCCTGAGCTCTGTCGAGCGCCTGAAGAACTCTTCCCCTGGCCCCAAGTAGTGGAATCCACGATTCTGCACACTCCCTTCCAGGAAAACAAACCTTGTGTTTTGGGGTTGGGGTGGGGGCGGCCTTTTTATGGCCCAAAGTGAAGCGGCCGCTTTAAGGGGAGTGGGTGGGTTGCGGTGGCTCGGGTCACGTGGTAGAAGGGGCCGGGTCGGCTCCCGTTGGTGACGTCGCGGCGGGGCCCCAAGGAGGGATTGGCCCGGGCCTGTCTGAGCGCTGAGGCCGCACCCTCCCGGGGGCAAGGCGGAAGTGGCGGGACGCGGTGGGGCGGAGGCGGGCCAGCGAGGGTGGACATGAGTGGTCTCGGCAGACTCTTCGGGAGGGGTGAGCCGGGGCGACGCTGGTCGGCGGGAGGTGCTGGCCGCGGGGCTGTGGGGGAAGGCCGCGGCCCCGGGCGGTCCCGAAAACCCCGTCCGCGGCCCAGCGAGGCCTCCTCACGTGGCAGGAGGCCCCGCCTCGTCGGGGAGCCTGGCTCTGGCTGCCCTCCCTTCCCCGCCCCCCGAGGGAAGAGCGGGGGGCCGGCCCGAGACGTGAGTGGACGCCCCCACTGTTGAGGCTGGGTGGGGGGATGAGTCCCCGGCTCTCGTCATCTAGCCCTTCCCGAAACACCAGTGCACCCTTTATGCCGGCCAAGGGAATCTGAGGTGACGAAGAAGGATTGCCTGCTTAAAGCTCCTGATGGGGGGGACAGACAAAAACTGGCACGCACAGTGTAGGCTGGCAACTCCACGGCGGGCATGTTCCTACCAACCAGGGAAGCGCCGAAGCCGAAGCAGTGTGGGGGGTTGTGACCCAGAAGGCTAGAGGTATGCTTGGTGGAGAACTGAGACACTCTAGGGGGAGGTAACTGCAGGACAGCAGGAAAGAGTCTGGTGTATTTGGGGGAAAGGAGTTCTGGCGGCCCTGTGCGCGGGCGCGCGCGTGCCAAAGAGGATGGAGGGGGACACGTGGGGGGCTCAGTCGAGAGCTGGCCTCCCGGCCTCGGGCTCAGGTGGAGATCCCCCGGTCCTGGGGTGGGGTCCCTCACCGGCTTCCCTGCGGGGAGCCGCCTTCTCCCTCTGCCTGTGTCTCTGCCTCTCTGTCTCTCATGAATAAATAAATAAATAAAATCCTTAAAAAAAAAAAAAAAAGGATGGAGAGGTAAACAAAGGCCAGACCAAGAAGGGCCTTGTATGTCTCATTAGTTTTGGATTTTATCCTGTAGAGGCAATAGAGTGTGGAAGGATTTTAAGCAGGCAAAGGCCGTCCTTTTCTTTTTCTTTTTTTTTTTTTAATTGTTAGAAGTGCAGAAAAGGAAGGGGAAAATTGAGATCAGATTTTTTTTTTTTCCCTCTAGTCCCAGTACTGTATTCAGTTTGATCCTGTGGAGTCAGGACCTTGGCATCTCCTAGGACAGCAAATGGAACAGTGATTATAAAAACAGACCAAACTTTGGTTGGGAGATGATAACTGGGAGGCTGTGCATGTGTAGGGACAGGGGGTGTATAGAACTCTATGCCTTCCACTCAGGTTTGCTTTGAACCTAAAACTACCCTGAAAAACAAAGTCTATTATTAAAAAAAAAAAAAAAAAAGTCTAGAAATTACTTGAAAGGCAGCTTGGAATAGCAAAAGAATACTGGATTTGGAAGTCATACTACCACCTTTCGATTCCTCCTCAATTCTTACTGGTTGTGATTCTAAATAAAAAAAATTAACATCTCTGTAACTTTTCATATGTGTAAACTGAAGATAATACATTCATTGTAGAGAGTCATTTTGGGATTCATAATAACACAGTGAAGTGCCTCGCACACATTATGCACTCAGTGACTGGTGGCTAGTATTCTTTCTTCACATAATATGGGCCTGCTTGATTGGACTCCAGGGAAGAAGGAGAAGGGGCCAACCCCTGAGGAGGCAATACAGAAACTGAAGGAGACAGAGAAGATATTGATCAAGAAACAGGAGTTTCTGGAGCAGAAGATTCAACAGGAGTTACAAATGGCCAAGAAGCATGGGATCAAAAATAAGAGAGGTAATGGGGGAGAGGTGCCAATGGGGCGGGCCTAGGTGGGAAGCAAGGGATTTTGGTTCTGATATTCAGGGTGTGGGCTGGGTCAGCCGCCCTACAGGCTTTGCGGAGGAAGAAAAGATTGGAACAGCAGCTGGCACAAACCGATGGGACATTATCCACCCTGGAGTTTCAGCGTGAGGCCATTGAGAATGCCACCACCAATGCAGAAGTGCTTCGTACCATGGAGCTTGCTGCCCAAGGCATGAAGAAGGCCTACCAGGACATGTGGGTACGGGGGGAGGGAAGCAGGGGACCCAGGCACTGGGGAAAATAGATTGGTATTATAATTTGAATCTTAAAACCTCAGAATGTAAAACAAACAAACAAACAAACAAACAAAAACCTCAGAATGTGAATTTACAGTATAGATGGCTATAACAGCTAGACCTTGGTCAGTCTTCTTGCTTCCTGTAAGATCTCTGCTGGCCAAAGCATTACAGGGAGGAAAGATGATTTTTCTAATTTTTAAAAATTTTTTAAAAATATTTTTATTTATTCATGAGAGACACAGAGAGAGAGAGGCAGAGACACAGGCAGAGGGAGAAGCAGGCTCCATAGGGGGATCCCTGGGTGGCTCAGCAGTTTGGCGTCTGCCGTTGGCCTGGGGCGTGATCCTGGAGTCCTGGGATCGAGTCCCATGTCAGGCTTACTGCATGGAGCCTGCTTCTCCCTCTGCCTGTGTCTCTGCCTCTCTCTCTCTCATGAATAAAAAAATAAAATCTTAAAAAAAAAAAAAGAAGAAGAAGAAGCAGGCTCCATGCAGGGAGCCTGATGTGGGACTCGATCCCAGGACCTCGACCACTGAGCCACCTAGGCATCCCGATTTTTCTAATTTTAAAGATCTTCAGAAAGGGCAGTGCAGCCTGTCTTCCCCATTGTGGCTTCTTGCCAATTTTCAGGCCAGCCTTGTCTCTGTACAATTTCCCAGGGATCTCTTCTGATACCCACGGATTTATCAGTCTGAGGCCACAGACAGGAGGGGAGATGGGAGAGTCAGGAGGGTTGTTGCCTAATTTCTTGACTGTATACCTTGTTTTCAGGGACATTGACAAGGTGGATGAACTGATGGCTGACATTACAGAACAACAGGAGGTGGCCCAGCAGATTTCAGATGCCATTTCTCGGCCTGTGGGCTTTGGAGATGTTGTAGATGAGGTGATTGAGAGTGAGGGGTCAGGGAATATGGGAGAAAACATGAGACCAGCCAGAAGGAATACTCAAGAGAATCATGGGGCAAGTTTGGGGGATGTGGGGCACTCCAAAAGTGATATATTTTTGGAAGTAGAAATTTCCTTTATTTTTTTAAGTGTACTTATTTATTTTAGAGAGTGTGTGAGATCATGGGAGGGGAGAGGCAGGGAGAGAGAGAGTCCTAAGTGGACTCTGCTGAGCTCAGAGCTCGACATGGGGCTCAGTCTTAGGACCCTGAGATCAGGGACTTGAGATCACAATTTGAGCTGAAACCAAGAGTCGCATGCTTAACTGTGCCATCCAGGAGCCCCTCATTTCTTCATCTTAAATAATTTTGTTGTCCCATATCCAGGATGAGCTATTGGAAGAGCTAGAGGAGCTGGAGCAGGAGGAATTGGCCCGGGACTTGTTAACCGTGGGTGACAAAGAGGAAGAACCCCCCGTTGAATTGCCCAGTGTACCCTCTACACATCTGCCTGTTGGACCAGGTACTCGGGGCTATACTATTATCTCAAGGACTTGAGGAGGTGGGATAGATATGGGAAAAGGTTATTCCATTTATATCCTGCTTCAAAGGACCCAAGCAGAGAGGGCTGCTGCTACAGTTGCACAGGTTGTTGACTGCATAAAGGCACCTGGCTGAAGAGGAATGAAGACCAAATTCCAGCTTGTGCCTCACTCAGCAAGCTGTATACCTCCTGGTATAGGGCTGCAAGTGCTAGGAGAAAGAGGCCCATTCTCCTAATTTTACAGGGTGCTCTGGGAATTAGCAGCAGCCCAGCAAGCAGAAGGACCACACCTCTAGGTTCTTTGCTGGGAAGAGAGAACCCAACGGACTCTCAGGGTTATAGCAGGGGATTGTTGAAGTTGCTAAGGTCCTAACACTTCTTTCTTTCTCTGGGTATCCTTGTCCCCGAAGCTCCCGAAGCAGACGAAGATGAAGCAGCACTTAAGCAGCTGGCTGAGTGGGTATCCTGATAAGTCTGGGTTGCTTTTCCCGGCACTGCCTTCATTGGTCTCTTTTCCTTAAGTGCCAAGTGCTAAGCTAAAGGAACCTAGCCTGTTGGGGAGGTCCTGCTGAGCGGTGATAGTGTGGCCCTGCCTGGAAAGGGGTTGTTGCCCTCCCCTTCTTGGCCCAACTCTGAAAAAGGATGTTGGGGTGAGAGGAGCCCCCAGGCCCCCTTCTCTTTGATAGCAGTCACGGTGCCCTCGTTCCCAATAAAATCGGGCAGATGGAACTGTAGTGCTTATACTGCCTTGTCTACACCTGAAACCCTTCCCTGGCCTTTGGAACTTTGTTTCAAGCAATGAATCACAGTGGGAGTAAGAAAGGAAGTAATGAAGTGTTGGAACAGAGAAAAAAATGGGCGTTGACAATATCTTGGCCTACTATGTTCTAAGTAGGTACTATTTCATCTTTCAAGTTGGTTTGTCCTAGAGCTGCCTAATGCTGAGGCTAAGCACAAATATTATTTATCTTAGAACTGTATAGAACTGTCTCTGAGTCCTCTTTCATTGCTTTCCCCCAATCATGCCTCTGCCAAGATAGCCCCATGACTTATTACTCATTTTCCTTTTGCAAAGCCCATTTTTAGGAAAGGGAGGGACAATATAGGGATAAAGGAGCAACTGGCTTTCCTTTACTCAGAACCCACGGTTCTGGCTTGGTTTGAACTTTTTTTTTTTTTTTTTTTTTAAGATTTAGCTATTTATTTTGAGAGAGTACACGCGTGCATAAGCAAGAGGGGCAGGGGGAGAAGGAGAGAGAACCCCAAGCTGACTCCCTGCTGAGCACAGAGCCTGATGCAGGGCTCCATCCAACGACCCTGAGCTTTTCAGCTCAGGACACTCAACCACCTGCGCCACCCATGCGCCCTTGTCGTTTGTTTCTAAGAGCACTAGTTGAGGGGCCATGATTCACTGGGGTTTTTTCAATAGTGAAACAACTACTTGGAGGAGGGAGCAGGAACCAAGATACATCACACATCTTGATACCCCTGATATTTGTTCTTCAAAGAGAATATTGCCATCCCTTTGGACAGTAAACAGAGATAGAGCCATAACCAAACAGCAGCCAGGGCCTCTCTACCCTCCTACTTGAACATTTAGAATGCACACAGATATAAAATAGTGAGCATTTCCTTAGCCAGAATAATGAAGCTTCCCAAAAGTGGGCATTCATCCCAGCACCCTCTCTCCCATGAGCTGCATATGTGCTACATTGTGAATTACCACGTGGACTTCACAGGTGCCAATATGGCTGGTTCCAGACTGGTTAGAAATCCACCTCTTACCCTCAGTAGTGTTTCTTGCTAAGGTTCCCCTGAGGAAAGAATGTCTTTGACCCCAGCTAGTAAAACTAAATCAGAAATAGATTTATTTTTGGTATAAAAGATTTTTAGCCCCAGACCCTCCTGCTTTGCTCCTCTCTCAACCCCCTTTCGACCACTTTTAGGTGTTGATTTCCAAGGATTGGTGCCGATTAGGGGTGCTGGGGGGTTGGCACATGGCTTCAAGCAGCCTGATCTCATGGGTGGGTTGCTCAGGCTGGAACTTGAGCACCCAAGGATCCTTGATGATGTCCAGGATGGTGGCACGCTTGGTGGCTTGGCATAGTGTCTGGAGGACCAGGTTCTAGGGCAGAGGAGAGAGAGGTCTTGGCTGAGCTTGCCCCCCATTGTGCCACATAGGCAACTAGCTCTTGGACCTAAGAGAGAAGCAAGATAGCCCATCACACCACTCTGGTGAAAGGGGGTATGGCCCTGATTTTATCTTGAAGAGCCTGGCATTTATCTCCTTGGAGGAGAAGGGAAGGAAGAGTTCCCTGGGGGAAAACCCTTACATAATCCCCTCCTGGCCTAAAGAGACAAGAGGCTGAAACCTGCTTATCCCTCAGACGCCCAGGGGTAGCCCTTTAACTCCCTCCCCAGCAACTACTCTAGGGTAGGGGCTCAAGTGTGAGATTGCTCTGGTGGGGAAGAGCCTCCCCCAGGGTGGGGACGCCGAGGATGGGTATTCCCTCCCTGTAGGTTATCCCCAAGGCCTCAGCCCTCCTGGGGGAGCCAGCACCTTGCACTCCTGAGAGATGGAGTAGTTAGATGGAAAAGTGACCTCCTTTTGAGTCTCTTTCAGCAGCTTCTTGAGATTGGTGTCATCAAAGGGCAGCCGGGCGACCACTAGAGTGTAGAGGATGACGCCCATGCTCCAGGTGTCAGACAGGAAAGGGTTGTAGGGCAAGCCCAGCAAGATCTCTGGGCATGCGTAAGCAAAGCTGCCACAGTAGGTCTGGCTGAGGTGGGTAAAGCAGTTCATTTGGCGGTAAGAAGGGCTACTATGCATTCTCTGGTTAGAAGGCACCATCTTGGCGAAGCCAAAGTCCGAGATCTTCACGTTCTCCCGCTTGTCCAGCAACAGGTTCTCCAACTTTAAGTCCCTACCAGCAGCAGAAAGGCTGGGGGTCAGGCTGGGAAGAGGGCTCAGTATTAGACCGGGAGCTGAAGGGCCAGGGGTCAGAGGCTAGAGGTGGAAAGGCAGAGTGGGAGAGAGGCACGGTCATGAGGACACAAGGTAAAGAGGGAGGAGCCGCGGAGTTGTGAGCAGAGCCTCGAGGTGAGAGAGGAGGATACCTGAGGATCACTGGGGCTCATCATTGTACTTCATAGAGTGCTGTGCTCACAGAGGGTGCTACATAAACGTTCTTGAGCAAAGCATTAAAATAGAGGGGATGAATAGGCCTAGATAACCGAGGAAGGTTGAGGGAGGGGAAAAAAAAGGGAAGAAAATGGGAGACATGCATGATACCCCCTTGAGAGCCCAAAGGCCCCAGCCTGGGTGGCCGTGCCCTCACCGGTGCACGATGCCCTTGCTGTGCAGGTAGGCGATGCCCAGGGTCATCTGGGAGAACCACTTGCCAGCAAGGGGCTCAGTGCAAGCCCCGTACCGCTGGATCCACTCGAGGACATCACCACCCTGAGCCAGCTCCAGAATGATGTATACTCGGGATGTGGTTTCAATGGCTTGATAGAAGTTGATGAGGTACTTGTGCCGCAGGACCTTCATTACCTGGCCCCAGAAGAGGGATCCATCAAACCTAGGAAGGGAGAACCCTGGCTGTGCTCCCAGCCCTCCTGCCATCCCACTGCTAACCTACTTAGAACCATGCAAAAGGATTAAATTCCAGAGGGCTGGTGGGCTGTGGGTGAACCCTATGCTTTGGACTTTTACTTTGTGAGGGCCTGTGGGTGAATGGAAAGAGGTTGAATTTACATGGAGTCCTTTTCCTGCTGCTCAGTAAGACATTCAGCCCTGATTGTGGGAGAGGGAGCAGGTGTGCTGGCTCCTCCCCTTCCTGACCCTACCCTCTTCTGAGAAATCTTTAGCAACTCAGTATGAGTTCCCTCTTCCAGCCCCCTTTCCAACCTGTATCTCACGGGGCAGGAACTTGTTAAGATAGTCCTCAGAGGCCTTCTTCTTTGAGATGATCTTGACAGCCACCATGACCTTTTGCTTTGTGTAGTAAGCTTCATACACGGTCCCATAGGAGCCATTGCCAATGACCTTGCCCATCTCGTAACCGTACTCCTCCATTACAGAGCGGTAGGCAGAGGGGGTTGGTGCTATCTCCAAGGTGTCTCCCTTCCCCATGGTGTCAGGCTTGCTGAGAGCAGGGAACTTTGCTACTTAAAAGCCTATTTATCTGCTCAGAAAGCCAACCTTGAGCTACTGAGGGCTAGGATACCAAAAGTTAGTCTCCAAATGCTTGCCTATATAGTCACGCAAGTCTGGGGTGCTGGGCTCAACTCTCCACTAGGAACGTGGAGGGGGATGAAGGGAGCAGCAGTTCTTTTTTGTTCCCACTAGCTGTTGTTACTTCTTTCTCCTGGTTACGGAACTCCCAAGGTCCTGTGTTCCATATACCTAACAATTCACCTTCTTTGTGCCCCTGGCCACGAGGCTTGAGAATGAAGTGCACTGTGGAATATATTCCTGGAGGCAACCTCTGCAACCTGGTGAGATGCCCGCCCCCCTGCCCCGGCCAAGATCTAGTCCCTTCAACCATCCACGTTTATGGAACACCCACTGTGTGCCAGGCAGTGTGCGAGTACTGGGCCAAAATAGCCCATAACCCCAACAGAGACCCTCTGCTCCTAGAGTGTATTCTCCAGCATGAGAAACACGTGTGAGGATATTACAGAGACTTACAAGGTGTTGGAGAAGCCTATTCTAAGGAATCTTAACCTTAAGTGATTTTTTGTTTGTTTTTTGTTTTTTCTTGGCTTAAAGCAACTGCCTTTTTTCTTTTTTTCTTTTGGAAACTGAGGTGGGCTCAGTGGCTGGTTCTTCTGGTGGCCTCATCTTAATTGGGATGGCTTGTTTCTGCTGTATATGGTCTCACTATCCAGTGGACTAGCCAGAGTTCTTTGACATAATAGCACTGAATTTTAAGAGGGAAAAAAAAGAGAAATTGCATGGTCACCTGAAGCCTAGACTCCAAAGTTGCAGAACCTCACTTCTACACCTTTATACAAGTAAAGACAGTTACAGGGTTACAAGGGTCTCTCAGATCAAAGGGGTGTAATAGACTCCATCTGTGAACCCTGAAATGCATTCTTGTCTTGCTTTCCATGACCCTAAGTTCTATAGTTTTACTCCTATCCTTCTAGCCATTCCTCAGACTTCCCTGGAGCCTTATCTTCTTTATCTGTCCCTCCATCATATCCTGAAGGTTCTACCACAGGCCTTATTTCCTCAAAGCTTTAAGTCCTCCCATTAGGAGCTCACCCATTCCCAACATTACATCAATGCTGACTGCTCCTAATCTCATCTCTATCCCAGATGTCCCCTGGAGTCCCAGCACCAGTTGCTCACTGGACAGCACATGGACATGTCTTCCTCAAGTATCTTAAACTCACCCTGTCCAAAACTGAACTCTTTAGGTTCTTGTTCTAGACTTTCTCTGTTAAGTTCTATACTCATTGCTTCAATTTACACACCCAGGTGTCATCCTAGACCCTTCTGTCTGCCTTAGCCCCTACATCCAATCTGTCACCTCTTCTCCCTCCTAATTATCTTTCATAATACATTCTGGGATCTCGGAGCAGCTGCCACTCTCTTAGGTCAAACCTCCATCAACCGATCACTCTAGCAAGCTTTCTGCTCCCCTCAGGTCTTCACCCTGAACTCCAAGGCATAACACTGGTTTCATTCCCACCTAAAACAATTCTTTGCCTCCCCTTTCTTCTCAGGATCAAGTCCAAATTCTTTTTTTTTTTAAACCAGAACGTTTATTTTGACTAATCGTTGAAATCCTTAAGATGAACTGGATGCTGCAACAGCTGCCCTCTTGGGATTAGGTGTTGTTCCTTCACAGAATCCATGCCTGAATCTGTGGTATACAATTTTTAGGTGCTTCATTCTTCCAGTCCCAGTGGTATTTGTTTTTTAGCCTTGGCACTCCCAGTTATACTTTCTCTTCCGCTTGGCAGGGTAGCCACACTTGCCGCAGGTGGACTTCTAAAGGTGGCAGGCCTTAGAGCCATAGTGGCGGCACAACGTGTGCGTCTTACTGCGACGCTTTCCGAACGATGATGTCCCCTTCGTCATCTTGTTTCCATGGCCAACCCCAAAGAGAAGCCCACATTCTTTTATATGGCTTCAACATCTCTCCAATTTTATCTCTTAACATATATGTAATGCTCCAGCCAAACAGAATCACTTGTCCTTCACTGCTGTTCCCTCTGTCTTGGCGGACCCTGACTCTCCCTTTAGGGCTTAGCTCTGAGCTGTTTTAAGGACACCTTTGCTGACCACTCAAACCCAAACTGGATGTTCCTCCTTTCTGGATAATCCCAGAGCCCCAGTACTTTCTCTGCCACAGCATCTAATGTAGTGTCTGTAATTGTGTTTTTTTCTGCTTGCATATCTCACTGGGGCTGTAAGGGAGGTCAACTGACCAGAAGAGGGGGATGAAGTCAGAGGTTTGAGAAGAATGGGTTGTGGAGAAATGGAAGAGAGCTCATCCGGAAAATGAGCAGGATCACTGGGCAGCATTGGGGGGTCCAAATGAGGTTAAAAACACAATTTATAGACACATGATTTTAACACAGTGTTAAGATTTTTTTAGCATGTTGGGTATAGGTGCTTGCATATTGGCCGATGAACCCAAGATGAAGGTTTTCCCTTGGCAGCTGGGAAGAAAGAATAATGGAAGAGAGGCATCAAGAACACAGGCAAGAATGTAGTTGAAATGATGGAATACAGAGTCAGCTGCATGGGTTAGAAACACAAGCTAGAAAAAGTCCAAAGGGACAAAAGGAGGGGTTGCAGGTCTTGGTGAAACGGAAGAACAAGTTTGGAGGGAATGAGAGGACAAGAGATTGTGGTCTCTTGATAGAGGGGTTATCTGGATTTTTGTTTTGTTTTGTTTTAAAGATTTTATTTATTCATGAGAGAGAGAGGCAGAGACGCAGGCAGAGGGAGAAGCAGGCTCCGTGCAGAGAGCCCAACGTGGGACTCGACCCTGGGTCTCCAAGGGTCATGCCCTGGGCCGAAGGCGGAGCCACCCAGGCTGCCCAGTTACCTGGATTTAAAGACTATGTGTGTACAGGGTGAGGGGGGGGCACGCAGGGGAAAGAACAAGAGAAAAATCAGATTTCTTTTATTTCTATCTCTCCCCCTCCAAAATAAACAAACAAAAAACCTCAACTCCATTTATGGAGTTTGGTATGGTACGGATTATGCTATAGGCTACTGGTAAATTCCTATCTGACAGCCTGCTGCTCCTGCTGGCAGGATGGTTTCAAAGTTTGTTAGAAGCTAGATGTACATTCTCAAACGACCAAGATAAGTTGTCCAGGGCACACCATGGTAAGGAGGCCCACCCAGCCCTGCCCACCTCCTGCTCCTCTGGATAGGTAGCTGGCCCCTGGAGAAGTAGGTAGCTTGGTGGCAGCTCTGTCCCTCATCATGTCTAGGAGGTAAACAGTTCATGGGCGAAACGTGTATTAAGCTGCCTACTTTATACAAAAGCACTGCTAAGTCCTAAAGATATCAAGATGGATAAATTATAGTCTTCTTGTGAGTACTTGGTAGTTAACAAGGAAGACAGACAAATAAGTAAAATAACAGTACAGTGAGATTAAGAGTGCTATAAACAAAGACTGGAAGATGTAAAGGCAGGCTTTATGGAGGAGGCATGTGCACTGTTCAAGAGGAGTCTCTGGGCAGGTAAGCAGGGAATGGTAGACTGGGCAGTCTAGGCAGAGGGAACTATATGAGGCTTGCAGGCTTGAGAAAACATGGCATTCAAGATTCATTTTTGTTTGTTTAAAGATTTTATTTATTCATGAGACACACAGAGAGAATGAGGCAGAGACATAGGCAGAGGGAGAAGCAGGCTCCTTGCAAGGAGCCCAATGTGGGACTCGATCCCCAAGACCCAGGATCACACCCTGGGCTAAAGGCAGATGCTCAACCACTGAGCCACCCAGGCATCCCGGCATTCAAGATTCTTTTTTTTTTTTTTAAATATTTATTTATTTATTATTTATGATAGACATAGAGAGAGAGAGGCAGAGACACAGGAGGAGGGAGAAGCAGGCTCCATGCACCGGGAGCCCGACGCGGGACTCGACCCCGGGACTTCAGGATCGCGCCCTGGGCCAAAGGCAGGCGCTAAACCACTGAAGATTCTAATCTGAATACAGGAAGGGTTCCAAAAGGTAAGGTACCTGGAGAAGTAATAAAGATCCAGGTCTGACAGGCCTCATATACCACGCTTTTTAGAGTTTATCCTATGTACTCATGGTCAAATTTTGGTTAAAATTATCAAAGTCAAAGCCTGTTAAAAAAATAATGATGCCCAGTCACCCCCTCCTCTAAGATCCTGATTCTGGTGGACCTAGGTGTCTCTGTTTTGTTTTTTAAAGATCTTGTTTATTTATTCATGAGAGACACAGAGAGAGAGGCAGAGACATAAGCAGAGGGAGAAGCAGGCTCCATGCAGGGAGCTCGATGTGGGACTCGATCCCAGGACCCCGGGATCATACCCTGAGCCAAAGGCAGATAGATGCTCAACCACTGAGCCATCCAGGTGCCCTGGTCTCTCTGTTTTTAATAAGCTTCTAGCTGAATCTGATGCACACCAAGATTTGAGAGCCACTGTTGCAGGAAATTATATAGTCTGTGTATAAATATGAATCTTTACAGCAGCAGAGTGGAAAATGGATCCAAGAGTGGAGGTGACCAGGAGACTAGCAAGGTGGCTTACTATGGTAATTTAAGTGAGAGAGGATGGGACCTGAACCAAGGCAGCCAGGGAAGGCAAGTATTTGGAAGATATTAAGGAAATAAGCAGCAGGGGGCCAAATGGCAATGATCCAAGGAGGCTGGGGGGTGGGACCAGGGAGTAAGTGAGAAAGGGTCCCAGATTTCTGGCTTAAGTTACTTTTATAATTACAAAACTCATTGGTTATCTAAAAAACTCCCATCTCCTACTTCCTGGAACCTCACCTCCTCCTCCGCCAGGGAGGAGGGTTGGGGCAGAGAGGTCAGAAGTGGGTAAACGGAGGACTTTTCAGGCCTGAAGCCACTTGTGATTTTTCCCTTGTACTATTTTCCCCAGGCAAAGGGAACCTTAAGTCTCCATACTTACATGCTGCCCCCACGTGGCCAAACGGAAGTCACTGCCCCTGGGTCTGATCTTCCAAACTCCCCTAAAGGCTCATCCCCTTAAAATAGCGGAAACGGGACAGCCCCAGTGGCGCAGCGGTTTAGCGCCGCCGGCGGCGGCCTGGGGTGTGATCCTGGAGACCCGGGATCGAGTCCCACGTCGGACTCCCTGCATGGAGCCTGCTTCTCCCTCTGCCTCTGTCTCTGCCTCTCTCTCTCTCTCTCTCTGTCTCTATAAATAAATAAGAAAGAAACCTTTAAAAAAAAATCGCGGAGACGGACAAGTGTAAACTTTTCCAGGATAATCTGCAATACAAAATTCCCAAACACATAACGGATAAATACGAACAAAAACATCGAAAGAGTCGAACGTATGCCACGATTCTTACCCTGAAAGTAACAAGCGTGTCAGGCTGCCCAACTCACCGGATAAAAGGGCTGACACCCTGTTTGCGTGCCTCAGCGCCGGACCTGGCTCAGGCTTGCCATCTTCGAACATGGGACGGTCATTATATGAACAGGAAGGCCTCCGGGGCAGCCTCGGCAAGATGTTCTTATTTACGTATTCATTTTTCGGCGGGAGGCCTTTCGTGACGGGTTGGGAGAGAAGCAGTGAGCTGAGATCCAGACTCCGGGACCCTTGCCTGGACTGTCGCGCAGTCCTAGCACAGTGACGCCCAAAGTCTCAGCCCCGCCCGGGTTGGGGGCACGAACCGCCGCCCAGAGCTCGCCCTCTGCGGTGGGTGGCGAGTCCCATTGGTTCAGCCGGCAGGTGCTCCGGGGCGTCCACTAGATGTGGGCCCAGCCACCAACCGGGCTACGGCTCCTCGGCCTCCGCCCGTGCCCAAGTCTTGCCAGGGACGGGCGGGCGGTCTGGCGGCGACCCTTACCCCGAAGGGTCGTCCGCGTCCTCGCAGCCAGGCCTCAGCCGTAGCCCCCGCCGGAGAAGCGGTGCGCCGAGCGGCGCCGCGGCCGCAGCAGCGGGGGCGTGGTCCCCTCTAGGCTCGGGGAGAGGAGCTGCCCGCGGGGCCGAGGCCCCCTCCCGGTGAGGCGGAAGTGGTAAGACTGACGTGTCCTGGGTCGCTCTGCAGCTCGCCGGGACGGTCCCCCGCCGCGGGGCGGGCTAGCCGAGCCTCGGGGGCTCTCCAGAGCTGGGCCGGGCTCCCGGCTGGAGAAGGCTCGTCCGCGAGCACTTCCTGGGCCGGGTGTGGTGTCCCGCGTGGTGTGGCTCCGGCCGCTGCGAACAGGCACTGCGGCGGCCAACCCCGGGGCGGTCGGTCGTCAGGTCCTCTCCCGGCCGCAGCTAGCGCGCCGCTCTCGGGGAGACCCGGGTAGGAGCCCAAGGGCAGCTACGGGCCGCGGAGGCCAGCCCTGCCCGTGCGGTGAGGACCCCGGGGGTGCCGCGGGAAGGTGCCCGAGGTGCGAGGCCGCGTGGCGTTGCCATGGAAACAGGCTGGGGCGCGCGGGAGGTCCCGGGCAGGCGGGCTGCTGGACGGGGACCCCAGATCGACGGGATGAGAGCGCACGGAGCACGGAGAGACAGCGCTGTGTGGGGGTCGGCGGAGGCGCCTCTCGAGGGAGGGTTGTAGAGGCCGAGGGGAGAAAGTGGAGCCCTGGGGCTTCGTTTCGAAGGACCTGACCTGGGGCGTCCGGAATTGATCCCTGGTTTTCATAACTGCAGGATTCCCCCAAACAGGTTCCACCGCCTTAAGGATGCCGGCCCTAGGGCCCCCGCGGAGTTGGAGCTGCCAGTGGCTGCCATTCCTGATACTGCTGCTGGGCAGAGGCCAGGAGCCACGGGTGGAAGGTGTGACACACTACAAGACCGGTGACCCCGTCATTCTCTATGTCAATAAAGTGGGACCCTACCACAACCCTCAGGAGACTTACCACTACTATCAGCTCCCGGTCTGCTGCCCTGAGAAGATCCGTCACAAAAGCCTTAGCCTGGGTGAAGTGCTGGATGGGGACCGAATGGCGGAATCTCTGTACGAGATCCGCTTTCGGGAGAATGTGGAGAAAAGAATTCTGTGCCACATGCAGCTCAGTTCTGCACAGGTTAGCCACTCCACATTGGCGAGCACTTAGCTCTCCCTCCCAGGAACTAATAACCGTGCCTTACGGTTTATGGTTTTAGAGCACCTCTATGGAAATGGGCTGACTCGATTTCTACAACCCCACTGGTAGGCAGGACAGGTGATATTATTTGCATTCAGTTGAGGAAGAAACATACTTGCTCAAAAGTGACTTCCAAGACACATGGATATTGAATTGGAGAAGTGATACTCGAGCCCAGGGCTCCTGACTCCAAGCTGCTCTGTTGGTAACAAGGTCCACCTGTCACTCCTGCATAGTTGCTTCCTTCCATACCTACCTCTTGGCTTTCTTAACTAGCTCCTTTACACTCTTAGGGCACTTGCTCTTTAGTCTACCCAGACCTCCGTACACCTTGCCTTTCTCCTTTTTCTACATCTTTTGCCCGGACATTTGGCAATGTGTGGAGCTCATTTTGATTGTTACCACGGGGGGTGGGGGTAAGGGGCTGCTATTGACATCTAGTGGGAAGAAACCAGGGATGGTGCATATTACAATGCACAGGACAGCTCCCCACAGTAAAGAATTATCTGGCCCAAAATGTCAGAAGTGAAATCTTTCTCTAACCCTATGGCTGGGAGGCTTTTTCTGACTCCTGACTTGCTCTTTGTAGGTGGAACAACTGCGCCAGGCCATTGAGGAACTCTACTACTTTGAATTTGTAGTGGACGACTTGCCAATCCGTGGCTTTGTGGGCTACATGGAGGAAAGTGGCTTCCTGCCTCACAGCCACAAGATAGGGCTCTGGACCCATTTGGACTTCCACCTAGAATTCCATGGAGATCGAATTATATTTGCCAACGTTTCTGTGAGGGATGTCAAGCCCCATAGCTTAGATGGGTTGCGACCTGATGAGGTCTTAGGCCTCACCCACACCTATAGTGTGCGTTGGTCTGAGACTTCAGTGGAGCGTCGGAGTGACAGGCGCCGTGGTGATGATGGTGGTTTCTTTCCCAGAACACTGGAAATCCATTGGTTGTCAATCATCAATTCCATGGTGCTTGTGTTTTTACTGGTGGGTTTTGTGGCTGTCATTCTTATGCGTGTGCTTCGAAACGACCTGGCTCGATACAACTTGGACGAGGAGACTACATCTGCAGGTTCTGGTGATGATTTTGACCAAGGTGACAATGGCTGGAAAATTATCCACACAGATGTCTTCCGATTCCCTCCATACCGTGGTCTGCTCTGTGCTGTGCTTGGTGTGGGTGCCCAGTTCCTGGCCCTTGGCACTGGTGAGGTGATAAAATTAATCAGGGATTTCTCTCAAGGGGTAGAACTAAGGAAGTGGTTTGTTCTGGAAAGATCTACAGATCTTCTCTTCTGTCCAAGGTGAGGGGCAGACCTAAGGGGTGGTGTGGCCTTAGACAGGATGTGTACAGGGTCACCTGGGTGGCTCAGTCGGTTCAGTGTCCAACTCGATTTCAGCTCAGGCCTTGATCTCAGGGTCGTGAGTTCAAGCCCTGCTTTGGGCTCCATGCTGGGTGTGAAAGCAAATTGGAAGGAAAAAAAAAGGTGTGTATATTCCTTTTTTATCTTATTTTATTTATTCATGAGAGAGACGGGGAGAGAGAGAAAGAGAGAGGCAGAGACACAGGCACAGGGAGAAGCAGGCCCCACGCAGGGAGCCCGATGTGGGACTCAATCCCGGGTCTCCAGGATCATGCCCTTGGCTGAAGGCAGCGCTAAACCGCTGAACCACCTGGGCTGCCCAGGTGTGTATATTCCGTTGTGGGTTTGCCAGTCAACAGAATTAGGGGATACTATACTGTCTTCCTGGAGACTTTAGGTCTGGGCGAAAGGGGTCTGATTCCTCTGAAGTTGCCAGAAAAACGACAGATGAGACCTGACACAGGCTTTCCACTACCACCCTGCAGGCATTATTGTCATGGCGCTGCTGGGCATGTTCAATGTGCACCGTCATGGGGCCATTAACTCGGCAGCCATCTTGTTGTATGCCCTGACCTGCTGCATCTCTGGCTACGTGTCCAGCCACTTCTACCGGCAGATTGGAGGCGAGCGTTGGGTGTGGAACATCATTCTCACCACCAGCCTCTTCTCTGGTGAGGACTGCCCTTTCCCTGGTGGGCTGGCCTGGTGGGCCGACTGAGGAGCTTAGAATACATTGTGGAACCTGGGACAAAGTTAGAGTTAGGCTTTAAGGGAATAAAAATGGGCAAAAGAAACCAGAAAACCATGCAAAAGACAAGAATGCATTCCTTTTGCATAGTCACAAATTAAGTCCTTAAAATGTTCTAGCATGGTAAGCATCCAACGTAGCTTTATCTCATTTAATCCCCACAGCAACCCTTTGTGGTAGGCAATATTGTCCCCATTTTACAAATGAGGAAATTGAACTTCATGCTGGTTAAGTGATTTGCCTGAGATTACTCTCCTAAAAGGGAGTGAAGCATGTTTCAGACCCACGCAGTCTGTCCTGAGAACCTGTGTTCTCGACCATTATTAAGAGTGAAATAATACTCCTTCTGGAACTTAACTTTGTGATACTCCCTCTTTAAAAAAAACTTTATTTGGAGGTGGCTACCCGACTGTAGCCTTACAAGCCAGGTTGTCTTCTCAAAGGCAGTAATAATGTGCATTCTGAAGCTTTTTGTGTTCCCAATCCTAACTTTCTGATTTATATCCCATCACATTTATGTTTGAGCCAGGGCTTTCTGAAAGCAAGGCCTTAATCCAAAGGAACGTCTCATTCTAGGAATGAATCACTGATGCTACAGCAGGATAGGCCCTTGGAGGCAGGTGGATTGTGTTACTCTTAGATCATCATGTAACAGCTGCCTTGATCCTTAATGATAACAGATGGGAGAGGGGATGCTGGTAAGATAAGGAACAGGAAAGGAGGTGTGGAAGGGTGAGGTCTGCCTGGGAACAGGATGCTTGACCCATCTCCTGTTAGGTCTAATCTGAGTGGGTAGCCCCAGGGGATGTAGCTCCTGCTGACCCACCTTCTGGGGGCCCGTCCCTGCAGTGCCTTTCTTCCTGACGTGGAGTGTGGTGAACTCGGTGCATTGGGCTAATGGTTCGACACAGGCTCTGCCAGCCACCACCATCCTGCTGCTTCTGACGGTTTGGCTGCTGGTGGGCTTTCCCCTCACTGTCATTGGAGGCATCTTCGGGAAGAACAATGCTAGCCCCTTTGATGCACCTTGTCGCACCAAGAACATCGCCCGGGAAATCCCACCCCAGCCCTGGTACAAGTCTACGCTCATCCACATGACTGTTGGAGGCTTCCTGCCTTTCAGGTATCCTCCCTTTAGGCCATGGCCATCACTTAGGTTCCTGGCTTTTCTTTCCCCAGTACCCTAACCCAATAAGAGTGATAATCCCTGGTTCAGCTGTACCATTTAGAGATTAAATGGGTCCTCCTTGCTCCAAGCAGGACTCAGCTTGAATTAGTTCAAACAGATGAGGCTGTCTCACTTAGAAAGCTCTCCAGAGACATTGCTCCTTCCACCACCTTTCTGGTTTCTGACATTAGTGTCCATAAGCACCATGTGGGGCTTGAAGCCCATATGATTGCTCATTCAATTTGAGTACCTTTAGTGCCAGGCGAATAATACAGCAGAGAATAAAACGGACAAGATCCTTGCTCTCAACAGATTAGGGAAGATGTTCTTGAGATGAACACAGCTAGTCATGGGTGGAGGAGTCCCCAGCAAGCCAGGAACTCCAGGGCAGGGAGTGGAGTGGACCCACTTTTCCACAGTGCCCCGGTAACTGTGCTGGCAGCACACAGCCCTTTAATGCTGTGTATCGTCTCTTCTCTTCACAGTGCCATCTCTGTGGAGCTGTACTACATCTTTGCCACAGTATGGGGTCGGGAACAGTACACTTTGTATGGCATCCTCTTCTTTGTCTTCGCCATCCTGCTGAGCGTGGGGGCTTGCATCTCCATTGCACTCACCTACTTCCAGTTGTCTGGGGAGGATTACCGCTGGTGGTGGCGATCTGTGCTGAGCGTTGGCTCCACTGGGCTCTTCATCTTCCTCTACTCAGTTTTCTACTATGCCCGGCGCTCCAACATGTCAGGGGCAGTACAGACAGTAGAGTTTTTTGGTTACTCCTTACTCACTGGTTATGTCTTCTTCCTCATGCTAGGCACCATCTCCTTTTTTTCTTCCCTAAAGTTCATCCGTTATATCTATGTTAACCTCAAGATGGACTGAGTTTTGGGTGGCAAAACTGTTGCACTTCTCTCCCATTCTTCACGTCCAGGGGCCCATTGATCTCTTCTGATTGAGTGGCTGAATTGTGTGATGGCATTGCTGCCTTCCCCTTTGCCCTTTGGGCCTCCCTTCCCCCGGGAGGGCCTGGAATTACAAATCTCTATTATATAAGGAGTATATATTTGAACTTTTTAAGTTGCCTTTAGTCTTGGTCCTGATCTTTCTTTTTACAATTATCAAAATAAAATTTATTAAGAAAAAGGGTCCTGTAGTTGGAGGGTTTGGTCTGGATATAGGAATTCGAGGCCTGCCGTTAAGGGCACTGTTCCGTAGAAAGCCCGGCCGGCCGCGGAATGCACGGAACGCGAGTTCTCCGCGGCGCTTGGGACTCTCCGCTGGGGGAACCTGCACTGCCAGGGCCTGTGTCCGCGGCGCAGCCGGCGGAAGTGGCGAAGCCGGAGCTCCGAGCAGGAAACGAGTTGAATCACCCTGGCGACGGGAGGGGCCCGGAGCAACGCCTTTTCCGCCGGAAGTGGGTTTCAGGCCTCCACGTGCTGTCCCTCCCCTCTCCCCCCTCCCCCCCTCCCGGCCCAGGAGCGGCGGCTCGACTGCTGCCATGGAGCCTGCCGGCCTGGAGCAGCTCCTGCGGGAGCTGCTGCTGCCGGACACCGAGCGCATCCGCCGGGTACGGGCCAGGCGGGGGACCCGGCCGGGGCGAGTGGGAGGCGGTGGGAAAGGCCCGACTCTGACCCCCGGACATCTCCCCCAGGCCACCGAGCAGCTCCAGACCGCTCTTCGGGACCCGGCCGCCCTGCCCGCCCTCTGCGACCTGCTCGCGTCGGCGGCCGACCCTCAGGTGAGGCTCCTGCCCCTCCCCGCCAGGCGTCCCCATAGTACGCCGCCGGTCAAGCCCCGGCTTGCCCCCTCTCGGCACCTTCCTGCCCGACCCTCACAGGCGTGCTTCTTCGCCTCAGGTCCGCCAGTTCGCGGCTGTGCTGACCCGCAGACGACTGAGCACCCGCTGGCGACGGCTGGCGGCCGAGCATCGGGAGAGGTGGGCGGGGCCGGGGGCGGGGCCGGGCGGAGGCGGCTGCTGGGCGGCCCAAGTACCCACACCTGCCACCTGTGTTCCAGCCTCAAGTCCCTAGTCCTGACCGCCCTTCAGAGAGAGACTGAGTAAGTGCCTACCTGCCTCTTCCTGGGATCCTGACCGACTCCAGGCTGAGACCGCTGTGGGTTTCTGCCTTGTGCTTCGGCTCCAGGCAGGGCCTGGGGAGGGGAGAAGATTTCAGTTCTAGACGGAGAGTGGAGCAAGGATTCTAAGATTGTGTTGAAGAGTAAATTTCATGAGAGTGGGCCATGATGGTCTCCCAAACCTGGATCAGAAAAATGTAACTGAAATTCAGTGTGAGACGAGGCTCACCAGGTTACATACCCACCTTGCTGCTGGTCTCCCCATGAGCCATCGTCTTATGTGTCCCAACTTGGCAAAGACCCTCTGCCCACCCTTGGAGGTTTCTGTCGTGGCCACCCCATGGAGACAGGCCCAGTGTGTGTTGGGGAAGGTATTGGAGGGTGATTGAGGGTGGGGGGGAATCTCTCCTATTTGCAGGCACTCTGTGAGCCTTAGCCTGGCTCAGCTCTCAGCCACCATTTTTCGAAAGGAAGGCCTGGAGGCCTGGCCTCAGCTCATGCAACTTCTTCAGCACAGTACCCACAGCGTCCACATCCCGGAGAGAGAGGTATGAGCACATGGTTGGTGGCTGGGAGGGAGGGAAGGAGGAACTGAGAGACTGGATAGACCATATAAACTTTTTTTCTCTCATCCCCTATACCTGGACAGATGGGGCTTTTGCTGCTAAGTGTGGTGGTGTCCTCCCGACCTGAGGCCTTCCAACCCCACCACCGGGAGCTCCTTCGGCTTCTGAATGAGACCCTTGGTGAGGTGGGCTCTCCTGGGCTCCTCTTCTACTCCCTGCGCACTCTGACCACCATGGCCCCTTACCTGGGCACTGATGATGTGGTGAGATGTGGGTCCTCACCTTCCCTGGTTCTCTGGCCTTGGGCTTCCATGTCCTCACCCTTGCTGGATATAGAGTTACTTGAGATTCTTTCTTTGCCATTTGTCCTCCCTAACAGTTGAGAAGGGATACTGTGGGTGGCTGTACCTGGGCTCCTCCTGTGTCCAGGCTTTGAGGAAGCTGCCAGCTTTAGGGGCCTGAGATGAATGAGCATGCGTTCTGCTTTCTGTCCTCTAGCCTCTCGCACGGATGTTGGTGCCCAAGCTCATTGTGGCTATGCAGACTCTGATCCCTATAGATGAGGTGAGAACATTTAAGCAAGAGCTCTGTTGGAAGGAGAGTATAGGAGCACACGGCTGGTCCACTAAAAAAGAGCATGGTAATCCTATAACTTGTCTGTCTGGCAGGCAAAGGCCTGTGAGGCTGTGGAGGTCCTGGATGAATTGCTGGAATCCGAGGTGCCCATCATCACCTCCCACCTCTCTGAGGTCCTCACATTCTGCCTGGAGGTGAGCCAGGGATGAGCACCACCTCTGCTGCTTGCTGGGAATTTCCTTGCTTCTCTCTGATTCAAGTTCGTCTCTGGGCAGGTGGCTAGAAACGTGGCTCTGGGTGATGCAATACGCGTACGTATTCTCTGCTGCCTCACTTTCTTGGTTAAAGTCAAGAGCAAGGTAAGTACTCTCTGATGTACATTACCACACACCTATTTCTACCCTTTGCCTTACTCCTTGGCTTTCTGTTCATCTCAGGGGTATGCTTAAGTATTCAAAACTTGATCTGGCCTCACCCCACCTCCTGGCTGGGAGTTTGGGAATCTTCCTGCTTGGACCCTTTCTGGCATAGGAGGCTGTTTTGTTTTGTTTTGTTTTTTTCTAAGATTTATTTACTTTAGAGAGAGAGCCATTTGCACACTAGCGGGGGAAGGGTCAGAGAAAGTGGGAGAGAGAATCTCAAGTAGACTCCATGCTGGGCATGAAGCCCAAGGAAGAGCTCAATCTCACAACCTTGAGATTATGACCTGAGCAAAATCACGAGTTGGATGCTTAACCTACTGAGCCTCCCAGGAGCCGAAGGTTAGAGTTTTTAATGTGACTCCATCTCAGGAGCAGATTCTCAGGGACACCGTTCCCCTTTCCCTCTCAAGGCCTTACTGAAGAATCGTCTCCTGCCGCCCTTGCTACACACACTTTTCCCCATTATGGCTGCCGAGCCTGCCCTGGGCCAGCTGGATCCTGAGGACCAGGATTCAGAAGAGGAAGAGCTGGAGATTGGGCTGGTGGGAGAGACTCCCAAGCACTTTGCTGTACAGGTGAGATATGGGACATGGGTAGGGACGGGGCGTTAGGTAGCTGTGGGGCAGAGGTGGAGTCCTGCAAAGTCTTCCTTTTTTCAGGTTGTGGACATGCTGGCACTACATTTGCCCCCTGAGAAGCTCTGTCCCTTGCTGGTAAGTGTGGCCCTGTCCTTATGGTGCCCTTCTCCCCAAGTCTCCTGACACTCAGGATGTTTGGGCCCTGGCAGATGTGAAGGGCCAGCTGCCGCGGGGCTGGGCAGACCTGCAGCAGGGTTTCAGGAGAGTACCATTCCCCTAGATGCCCATGCTGGAAGAAGCCTTGCGGAGTGAGAGACCATACCAGCGCAAGGCTGGGCTCCTGGTGCTGGCTGTACTGTCCGATGGAGCTGGTGACCACATCAGACAGAGGTTCCTTTTCCTTTGCCCTGGATTGAGAGCAGGCTGTGGGGAGTACTACCACATGGTCCATGGTGGTCCTGGTCTTGTTGGAACTTAATTATCAGAAGCGTTTCCCCTCAGTCTCAAGTGCCTTGGTTTGAAAGATAATTTAAATAGGCACCTCAGCTATAGGGACCAGCGGGTGGTGCCTACTGATTGGTGACAGAGAAAGCCTTGGTTTCCCCCGGGGAAATGAGGAGGGCTTAGCCTCAGGCTTTCTGGCCCTATCCCTCAGACTGCATCGTCTTGTTCCACCCCACCCAGACTGCTGCCCCCGCTGCTGCAGATCGTGTGCAAAGGCCTGGAAGACCCATCACAAGTGGTGCGCAACGCTGCGCTCTTTGCCCTGGGCCAGTTCTCGGAGAACCTCCAGGTCAGTGAGGCTGAATGTGGGTGGCCACTGTGGCAGAGTCCCCACCCATCTCCAGGATCAGCTTCTCTTCAGCCTCCTCTCTTTAGCTCGCCCTGCCACCACTAAACTTAAGCAGGGCCCAACCCTGGTCAGCTGACTCGGAGCCTCCTTTCTCTCCCCAGCCCCATATCAGCAGCTATTCCGGGGACGTGATGCCCCTGCTCCTTGCCTACTTGAAGTCAGTGCCTCCTGGGCACACAAACCACCTTGCAAAGGCCTGCTATGCCCTGGAGAATTTCGTGGAGAACCTAGGTAGATTGCAAGGGAGGAGACAGAGCTAGAGCTCTGGATGAAGGCGGTGGGATATGGAACCCCCTGAACCACTGTCTGTGGTAGGGAGAGGAACCCTGGGCTGGATGGTAGAGGTCAGCCCAAGGCACAAGGGGGTGCTTAGAATGTAGGAGACCTCGTCTAGGTGTTAGAGGAATGCCCTTTCCCACAGGTCCTAAAGTGCAGCCCTACCTTCCCGAGTTGATGGAGTGTATGTTACAGCCTCTGAGGAATCCCAGCAGCCCCCGGGCCAAGGAGCTGGCCGTGAGCGCCCTGGGGGCCATTGGTGAGGAGCAGGAGGCAGGAGGCTCGGTACGGGGTTTGCCCAGAGCCTGTGGCAGGTGGTCCCATTGATCCCCACTCTAGCTCTGATTCTGTCTGTCCCACAGCCACAGCTGCCCAGGCCTCCCTACTGCCCTACTTCCCCACCATCATGGAGCACCTGCGGGAATTCCTGTTGGCAGGCTACGGGGACCTGCAGCCTGTGCAGATCCAGAGCCTGGGTGAGTAAGGGGCTCTTAGGCACGCTGCCCGGTGCCGGAGAAGGGCCAAGGCGTTCCTGGACATCTACTCCAGGGTGGCACAAGTATCTTCTCTTCCCAGGATACCTAAGAAATAGGTGGGATTCCTGAATCACCCGTGAGCTGCCGACTTTAGTCTCCCAGGTCTTGGCCTTGCACATGTCTGGCTTGTCATCATTGCATCCCAGTACTAATCAAGCCCTTGCCTCCACAGAGACACTGGGGGTGCTGGCTCGAGCAGTGGGAGAGCCCATGAGGCCCCTGGCTGAGGAGTGCTGCCAGCTGGGGCTGGGCCTGTGTGACCAGGTAGACGACCCTGACTTGCGGCGTTGCACGTGAGTGAGCCCTTTCCCTGCCTCATGCCTCCTACCCCTGCCTGCTGGATCCACAGCCCTAAGTCCAGAACCCAGTCCTCTGTTTCTGGGCATGGGTGTCCCCGGGGTTCCCTGTTCTGTCTGGCTGTGACAGGCGGGACTGTACAGCCTTTACCTGCTTCCACCAGGTACAGCCTGTTCGCAGCTTTATCAGGGCTCATGGGTGAGGGCCTGGCACCCCACCTGCCAAAAATCACCACCCTCATGCTGTTGTCACTACGTTCCACTGAGGGCATTGTGGTGAGCTGGGAGCTGGTGGGCTGGGTCAGTTGGGGAAGGGCTGCCCTGGGGTGACAAATGAGCCAGAGTCCCTGCTGTGTCTCTTTTGCCCAGCCTCAGTACGATGGAAGCAGATCCTTCCTTCTATTTGATGACGAGAGTGATGGGGAGGAAGAGGAGGAGCTCATGGACAAGGATGAGGAAGAGGAGGAGGACTCTGAGATCTCAGGGTGCGGAGGGGTGCCCTTCTGGTCAGAGGAACCCTGGCTTTGGGCGAGGGCCCCGTGCCGGACCTGCCCCCACTGGTGCCTAATCACTGTGGCCTCTCCACCCTACTGTAGGTACAGCGTGGAAAATGCCTTCTTTGATGAGAAGGAAGACGCCTGTGCTGCTCTAGGGGAGATCTCTGTGAATACCAGGTAAACCTCGGCCCTTCCTGATCCTGGGAGCCCCATCTGGGAGCTCCTGCCGCATGGCTGTGTGTCTGTCCACAGTGTGGCCTTTCTTCCATACGTGGAGAGTGTCTTTGAAGAAGTATTCAAGCTGCTGGAGGTGAGGGGGCTGGTGGACGGAGTGGGTGGGGTCCAAGGGCAAGGGGCCCTGTGTTAGCCATGAATGAGGCAGGCCCTTCCTGCCCCTTCTCGACCCACAGTGCCCTCACCTGAATGTGCGGAAGGCGGCCCATGAGGCCCTAGGGCAGTTCTGCTGCGCACTGCAAAAGGCCTGTCAGAGCTGCCCCTCCGAACCCAACACTGCAGGTGAGCAGGGGATGCTGGGGCCTCCGGAGAAAGGGGATGGCTGTGGGATAGGGGTAGGACCTGACCGGGGCCTCAGCCAATAATGTCCCCAGCTCTGCAGGCTGCCCTGGCCCGGGTGCTGCCGTCCTATATACAGGCGGTGAGTGAGGAGCGTGAGCGCCAGGTGGTGATGGCTGTGCTGGAGGCGCTGACTAGCGTGCTGCGAGGCTGTGGGCCCCTCGCACTGCAGCCGCCTGGGCGCCTTGCTGAGCTCTGTGGCATGCTCAGGGCTGTGCTGCAGAGGAAGGTGAGTGGGGTGGGTAGGCTGCGGGGCAGGGAGGCGGGACAGTCAGAGGCTAAAGGTCCAGCTTCCCCCTCCTCCCCTCTCGGAGATGAGAAGGCCCAGGAGAGCCCAAGCTGAGCCAAGGACCCTTCTTGCAGACAGCCTGTCAGGACACTGACGAGGAGGAGGAGGAGGAGGAGGACCAGGTGAGAGCTGCGAATCCGGACTGTGGGACCAGGCTGTCTGGGTAGTGTCCCCAAGGCAGGGATGGACAGGGTACCTGGCCTTGGCCTCGGGGAGCCAGAATTGCTAAAAAGTTGGTAATGGCTCTAAATGAGGCACCCCTGCTCCCGCTGAGGCAGCGGAGATTCAGGAGAGGCTTCCTGCAGGTGGGGGTCTGGGTGGCTGGGACTGAGAGCGGGGAGAGTAGGTGGTGCACCAGGAGAAGCAGCTGTGCTTCAAACAAGGCCAGCCTGGAAGGGGCCAGTCCTGTCAACCAGGGGCAACCCCTGGGGACCACCTGTGGCAGCGGCAGAGCATCCGGGAGGTGCCACCATTGCAGAGCCAGCTCTGGTGCTCTAGCCCCTGACCTGGCCCACAGGCTGAATACGATGCCATGTTGCTAGAGCATGCTGGAGAGGCCATCCCTGCCCTGGCAGCCGCCGTGGGGGGAGACACCTTTGCCCCCTTCTTTGCCAGCTTCTTACCATTGCTGTTGTGCAAGACGGTGAGTGCTCTTCAAACCCTTTTTGGCCCATGCACCCTGTGCCCAGCCCACCACTCTTTCCCAGTCGCAGCCTGACTTGCACTCCTCCCCGCACCAGAAACAGGGCTGCACGGTGGCAGAGAAGTCCTTCGCAGTGGGGACGCTGGCAGAGTCCATTCAGGGCTTGGGTGGTGCCTCTGCCCAGTTCGTGTCCCGGCTGCTCCCTGTGCTATTGAGCACTGCCCGGGAGGCAGACCCCGAAGTGCGGAGCAATGCCATCTTTGGGCTGGGTGTGCTGGCAGAGCACGGTGGCCGCCCTGCTCAGGAGTATCCTCGGCTTACAGGAGGGGGCACAGGTGGGGTTGGGAGTATCTCTGGGGCTCGGGGATGGAAGATGTCTGCCCATGGGCCTGTTCCTTGACTGTGGAACCAGATACTTCCCCAAGTTGCTGGGGCTTCTGTTGCCCCTCCTGGCACGGGAGCGCCATGATCGGGTCCGTGACAACATCTGTGGGGCACTGGCCCGCCTGCTGATGGCCGGTCCCACCAGGAAACCAGAGCCTCAGGTGAGGGCTGCAGGCATCATCCAGCAGGGCACGGAAACTGAGGGGGGTGCAAGGGTTACAGAACAGGGGGCCTGAGGCATGTCTGTGTCCAGGTGCTGGCTGCCCTGCTGCACGCCCTGCCACTGAAGGAGGACTTGGAGGAGTGGGTCACTATAGGGCACCTCTTCAGCTTCCTCTATCAGAGCAGCCCTGACCAGGTAACTGGGAGGGAGCTTGACGCTCCAGCCAGAGGTAGGGTTGGCCTCCCTTGTAGTTGATGTGGAGTAAGTTTAAGCTGCCCTCAGACACTTTGTCATTACTCTGCCAGGGTTAGCAGCCAGGGCTGAAATGGGAGGGGAGGGGCCTCTTCTCACCTCACAGTGTTTTTCCCCAGGGAGGCTCCATCCTCCCTGGCCATTTGCACCCCCTGGTACAACTTCCCTAGGCTGACTTCTTCCTGCACCGGGGTTCCTTCAGACTGTGTTCCATGGAGCATATGTATCTCTGGGCCACCCCCATCCCTTCCAATCAGAGCAGCTCTGCTTTCTGAATGAGATTTGTCTGTGCCAACCAGCAAGGTCTGGACTCGGGTTCCAGCAGTCCTGTGTCTCGCACACACCTTTAGAGACTTGTGATGGTGGACCTCTCCTGAGTGTCTGGGCTTCTTTGGGTCTAACCTGCAGTTATCTTCGGTCACAATATGGCCCCTTAAAAAAAAAATAGAATTATCCCCCCACGTTTCACGGGTCCTTCTCGGCTTTCTCGGTTGTCTTGGATGAATCAATATCACGCTATATAAGTATCCCCAGTGGGAGGCCCTGCCTCAACCCTGGTCCCAGGACCTAGGGGAGCTGGCATCTGAGTCAGCCCCCCTACCCCACCCCCACAGGTTGTAGATGTGGCTCCTGAACTCCTGCGCATCTGCAGCCTCATTCTGGCTGACAACAAGATTCCCGCAGGTGAGGGTGGCAGTCGTGGGCAGGGGCAGGGGGGGGGGCAGCTAGGGGTCTGGGGGCCAGTCCTCCCTGGATCTTTCCCTCTTTGCTCTCCACCCAGACACCAAGGCCGCACTGCTGCTGCTCCTGACGTTCCTGGCCAGACAGCACACTGACAGCTTCCACTTGGCACTGGGCTCGTTGCCTGGTGACAAAGCTCAGGAGCTCCAGGCTGTCCTGGGCCTCACCTAGACTGGGTGCTGAACCAGGCCAGAGAGAATCGGGTCTGCCAGGCTCCGGGCCTGGCTCTCAGGCCAGTTTCAGCTCACGCCTTACCAAAGATTCTGGGCCTCACACCCACTTGGAATCTCAGCCCCAATTTGCTGCTTCAGGAGGGTGTCTCTGGGTTCAATCTGTTATGCCGTGGACAATACAAATGGATTCTTGCCATCCTTCCCTAATAAAGGCAGTTCAGTTTCTGCTTGAACAGTAGCTCCGAGAGCAGGAAGCATAGAGCTACATGTTGAGAACAGAGGCAGGAAGACGTAGTTTAATATAGCCAATTTCCCGGTGGCTTTATAATTAGTTCTAACCACAATGGAATCGAGGCCCCAGCCGGATCAGGAGGCGCCCGTATGGTTTCTCTTGCTCCAGGCGAAGGATCTGTTGGGCTGCAAGCACTGGTCAAGAGAAGAGGACGGGGCCAGTCAGGGGGGGAATCTGTGTAGCAGCCTCTGGCCTGTGTGTCCTTGCCTCCCTCCCTCCCCCCACCGTGTGCACACACACACACACACTCACCCAGAAGCAAGTAAAAGACCCGGGCGGCCATCCAGCGGGGGCTGAAGGGGGACAGCAGGCTGCTGAAATCAGGCTCCCTGTTGGCCTGCAGCTCCTGGGCTACAGCCCTGGGGGGATCAAGAGCTATGAGCTGAAGTCCCAGCCTGGGCCCACCCCAAGGCACCTTTCCCCATCACCTGTACACGGCCTCCAGCGACAGCAACTTGGGCTCTGGGGGCAGCTCCAAAGGCAACTCCAGGGGCATTTCAGGGACCTCAGGCACCACAGGCAACACAGGGGCCTCTGGCTGCTCTGCCTCAGCCCAGGCCCTGGGAGAAAACAGGAGTCAGTGGAGCTAGGAGGGAGGCAGGCTGTAACACTGACGAGGGCCATACCCAAGGTCACCTGGGTGGGTGGCTTACCACCGTTCTTCCGGGGGGATGAGGCTGGCACGGGACTTCTCTTCCTCAGCCGTTTCTAGAGAGAGCTCTGTTGGGAAGGTAAGATCCCAAGGGGGTCTTGCTGAGATCTGAGTTGAGGGACCTTGAGGCCACTCAGTTGAATTAGATGCCACTGCAGTGACTTGTTCAAAGTACACAGGTAGGAGAAACTGTTAAAGAGATCTAGGCCCCCTTACATTAAATGCTTCTTCTAGTAAAAACCATCAGCAGTTACGGTACCGGCTTCCTGGGACAGTGGCTGGGGTAATGGTCCCCTCACTTCCCCAGGTGCCTACCTGAAGACAGCATGAGGGGCCCACTGGGCTCCTGGGCCTCTCTCAGGACCTGGGGATGGGAGAAAGAGAACTAAGTCCTCAAGTGTCACAGAAGCGCCCAGGCAGGGTGACGCAGGCTTGCACTTGGGGACAGGACCTGGCGCCACTGGCCTGGGGGGTGGGAGGGGCCCAGAAGGCAGCCTGCTGGAACTCAAGAGGGGGCCGGCCCTGAGGGCACCCCTCCCCAGGGCGTGCAGTTACCTCAATATCACTTGGGGTTTCCATCCTCCTTTCTTCCTCCTCAGGCTCCAGAGGTGGCCTTCGCCTGAGTGCTCCGAGGGGTGGCTGCGCACAGTGGGTCCAGAGAGCCAGCAGTTCTGGGGGCAGCCAGCCAGCTGGGGAGGAAGGGAAGGAGGGCAGCAGGGATGGGGTCTGAGGTATGAGGAACACAACAAGCAAGGAATATGGGTTCAACTCCCCCCACACACACACATGCCAGCTCCCACCATTCCTTACAGTGAGTCGGGGTTTGGAATAGCTCTGTGGGGCTTCTGATGGTCCTCTCCAGAGGCTGCACCTTTGGCTGTAAGGGGGAGGTGGGGCAGAGCCAACTCAGGAGTGAGCCACTCCTCCCTGCCCCGTCTCCACTTCTTTGCAATTCATTGTTCCAAGGCCTCTGAGACTTTCCAAGTGTCAGGCTTCTGCCCCTGCCTGCCCTGCTCACTGCTAACTGGTGCCCATGGATGGGCTATGTGGGTCACTGAAGGAACATGTGTAGACCTGTAACACGTGCTCTCTGGGGATGGATCCCAGTGCAGCCTCAGAGATGAGAAGGCCCAGTATGCATGGCCCCAGGCCCTCCCTGCCTGCCTCCCTCCCTTTGTCCCTCCCCTGCAGAACCTGGGCTGCACTCACACACTCCCAGCAGTGGGCTCTGGTTTGCAGTTGTTCCTGGAATTTCTCCCGGGAGATCTGAGTCTCCTTGTCCCAGAACAATAATTGGCGGCGGCGGCGACGAGCGGGTGGGATCCTAGGACGTGGGGGCACTGGAGGCCGCCTCTGAGTGGAGAGGGGAGGTGGGGGCAAGGATACCCATTACTCCTTTTCCTGCCACCTTGGCCGACTATGAAACAGGCCCCACATACCCGCTCCACAGGCACCCTGGAAAAGAGCTTGGGCAGGGCCTCAAGTGCAGCTCTGACCTCACAGGAGGGGACCCACCTGGGAAGTGCAGGCTGGACAAAATGGAGCGTGGGCGGGGGCACCTTTTACCATTTGCACAAAGACCCAGGTTGGCTAGCAGTTGCCTAGGGATTGGGGAAGCTGAGTAGGGATGAGCAGCTCTGGGAGCTGTGAGAGTAGAGCAAAAGGGGAGAGAGCTTGGAAGGGCAGTACTCACCTCTGGGCTGAGGGGGGCTGGCAGACGCAGCTCCAGAGGAGGGGTCACCTCTGCAACAACATTCTAGGTCCCAGATGTGCCACACCCCTTCACCCCAGCAGCCACCCAGGCAAGAAGCTAGAAGGCCTCCCTTCGACAAGGTGGAATCCAGGGCCCTTGGCTGCAGTAGCTGGGGAAGGCCCCAGGCAGGATGGGCACTCACCAGTAGGTAGGGCCTCAGGCTCCCAGCCTGCTGGCTTCAGCTCCTCCGGGACCAGGACAGGAAGTGGCTCTGCAACCCCTTCCACCCTGAGGGAAAACGGGCAAGAGAAATGAGGTCAGCCCTCTCAGCACAGACCCCCTAGCTGGCCCAAGGGGATGTTGCCCTTACAGTGTGAGAGCTGCAGGTGAGAGTGGGGGTACTTCGGCCTCCCCCTCAAGAGCCCGGGGCTCCTCCTTGGACACTGCACAGAGAAAATCAGGGCTTAGAGCACAGAAGAGCAGACATGGGAGCACTACTGCCCCCGCCCGCCTGCCCGTGCCAGGGCGCTGACCATCCACTGGCGGAGGGGCCCTACGAGGCCGGAGAGGCCTGCCTAGCCGCTCCTCTAACAAGATAGCTTCGTCTTCCTCGGCAATCAGCAGGTCCAGGTCTCGGCGGCTGATCTCTGGGAGGTCCTGTTCACCCTGTCAAGAGAGGAGGAGTAAGGAGAGGGAATGCAATTCCATTTCTGGAAAAGGCAGTAGCTCTAGGAGATGGGATGTGAGAGGTGAGTGGCAGGAGGCCTGCTGAAATGGAGACAAGAAGGCAGGACCGGGGGGGGGGGGGGGGGGGGGGGGGGGCGGGGGGCAGACAGGGCCGGGTAAGGTGGGCTGAGCCTCCAGAGGCAGGCCTTAGGCCTGTGGCTCTGTTGCCTGGGGACAACTCACCTCGATGTGCAGCATGCGGATTGGCTCCGCCTCCTGGAGGGTGATGGCCTCTGGAGACAGCACAGTGACCGGGATCCTGTCTGGAGGGGCAGGAGAGTCACACCAGGCCCTCTGCTTCCTTCCAGATTCCCACACCCGTGTGGTAAGGCAGAAGCATGGACTCTGGAATCAAGTCAGCTTGGGTTCTGGTCAGGTTTGGGCCGGTCACTGGCAATCTGCCCCTGCCTATGCTGTTTAACCACTACGGGCCTCATTTTCCTCCTCTGTAAAATGGGGATAAGAATTCTGATCTCACAGGACTCTTGTGAGGCAGAAATAAGGTGACAAAGTGCCCCTCACAGGGCCTGGCTCTTAAGAGAAGCTGAAAGATGGTCATTTCTTCAGTTCCTGGGCCTTCCTACGCCTCCCCTGGGAAGGAGGCTCTCTCTGCTCACCTGGCTTCGGAGGCTCCATGGGGACTTCAGGAGGGGCCTCCTCAAGAACTTTCTCTGGGGTTGCAGCCTCTAGGAGGTGTCGAATCTTTGGGGAGGAAAAAGGAAGGGTTCATCTTCAGCCCGTTTTCCTACTTCCACCACCTTATTCAGACAATAGATTAAGGCTTCGTGTTTAAGCCTTGTGACATGAGCTTGCGCTGAGCTCACTCGCCATTTGCTCTTGCCTCTCGTTCCTGCCCCATAAGAACAGTTTTTCTGTGCAGGAAGCACTGCATCCTCATGTCAAGTGTTGTGGGGTATAGAGGAACAGAAAAGACATTTGAGTTTAGTAGCTTATAGTCTAAGAGGAAGATCAGTTCATATAGGACCCCAGCAAGAGTCCACACAAAGGGTGAAACAAGCCCCTAGCCAAGTGCTCATTTCCAAAACAATGTGTGGGCCTGGCCAGGGAGAAGGCCTCATAGAAAGGGGTGACATTGGAGCCAGGTCTGCTACAGATACATATGACTTAATACAGAACGAAGGTGACCAGCACAGGCGTGGAGAGCCGCTTGTAGTGGGGAACCGCTGGAGGCGTCTTTTTTTTCAATATTTTACTTATTTATTCATGAGAGACACACACAGAGAGAGAGGCAGAGACACGGGCAGAAGGAGAAGAAGGCTCCATGCCTGACACGGGACACGATCCCGGGTCTCCAGGACCACACCCTGGGCTGAAGGCTGCGCTAAACCGCTGTGCTACCCGGGCTGCCCTGGAGGCATCTTTGAAAGAAGGAAGTAGCGCTGTCTTAAGCTGTGGAGGTGTCAGGGTGTGGACAAGGAACAAGGACAGGAAACCCAGGGCTAAGAGATGATAAGGGGCTACATTAGAGCCTTGGCAGTGGGAACTGTGTGGAGAGTACTTGAGACAAGAGTTGCCTGGAGGGTGACCTTGAATAGATGAGTGGAGCCGTCTTTGTTGGGAGGGGTCCACCATGACAGCCCCCCAGGGTTAGACTGGCACAGGGACAGCACTCCCCTTCTGCACTGTCAACTCATCGGTGAGGCCTACCTGAGGGATACTGAAGGGGCTGGGAAGTGTGGGATCCACAGACATCAACCCAAAAAAGGGGTCTGGAGCATCTTCCAGGGTCTCCATCATGGCCAGGTGGTTAGGAAGCAGCAGGCTGGGTCTGAGAGAGAGGGAAAATGTGGGCTGTCAAGCACTGAGGCAGAGGGCTGACTCCAAGCAGGGAGGTCGCACACCGGCGGCTGAGGGGTTCAGGCCCCCGGGGCACTCACAGGTCAGTGTCCACCATATCAATGCGGATCTGCATCTGGGCACGGTGCAGGCGCTCCAGGATGTGCTGGATGTCCTCTGTGGGCAGGGGTGGCAAGGTAGAGCGCATGCCTAGCCCAGGGCCACTGGGCTTTGCCCCATCTCCGAGCCTTCCCAGCCTTACCTACGAGGTACTGGCATTGTTGAGTGTAGACGCGGATCACGCCGATCTGCAGCTGGGCTGACAGATACAGGGAGAAGCGGGGCCGCGGCTGGCCGGGCTGCGGGGGCTGCACTCGTACCAGCACATAATCCAGGATTTCCTCGCTGCGGGGGACGGCGCGCCCTGATCACGCTGCGCCACGGCCCGCCCCTCCTCCCCTGCCCCGCCCGCTCAGGCCAGGCCGCTCCTCCCCTTCCTCCGGCCTTACCAGGTCTTCACCACGTTCACCTTCAGATACTCGCGCTTCACCAACCGGCTGCCGCGGGTCGCTGCCAGCCTGGGGGCGGGGGGCGGAGGAGGGGAGGGGGTGGATGGCGGGGGCAGCGCTGGCTGGGGCCCCTGGGTGCCCCTCCCGGCGCTCACGGCTGGGCCCTTACCAGATGGTGGCGAAGCAGCCAGTGTGGCGCTGAAGCACGTTGGGATAGTAGAACATCGTCCCGCCGGGCTTTCACCCTCGTCCCCACCACTCCTCCGCTGGATCTCGATCTCGATCTGAATCCTTCGTGGCACTGGGCTTCCCAACAGCGTCGGGGCAAAGGCTTTGGAGAGGCGAGGCGGCACCCCGGGTGGCCCCCAGGACGCCAGGTAAAGGAACCGACGTCTCTGCGGCGGGTAAACAATTAAGGCGAGGAGGAAACCGAGGCGCGGACTGCACACACGCCGGTGGGGACGCCCCTCTGCCGCCCCGGGTGGGCTCACACGCCGCGTGGCTGCTTCGAACTTACGGGGCCTTCCGGGTCGGGTTCCGGGTTGGAGGTACAGAGCTCGCCGAGGCCGGGCTCCGAGGGCGGACGGCGGGCCTCCGCAGGGGCGCCGGGCTCCCGGGCTCCCGGGCTCCCGGGCTCCCGGGCCTTGCACTCCGCTCGGGCACCTGCAGCCCCGGCGCGGCTAGATCCCGCCGCAGGGGGCGCGCGCTCCGGAGCTGGGCGCCTCCCTCGTCATTAGACGGCGGCGGACCCCGCAACAGCCAATGGGGAGCAGGGATGGGCTTGGGGGCGCTCTGCCCCAGGACCCCGAGCCGCCCACTTGGCATCGAGGCCACCCGGCTCCTGGGCGGGCAGCGAGCCAATCAGAAGGAGCCCACGTGCCGCGCGGGCCATTGTGACGTGTCCTGACCAATGGACTCTCGTTCTCGCCTCTGGTAACAAGGGTTCCTCGGTGGCACTTCTCTGCTGACCAATGAGCGAGGAGCACGTCCCAGCCAACCCCTCCCCCCCCCCAGCCGGCTTGGTAACAAGGGCGTTTCAACTACCCGAAAAGGTCGGGGCATCGGGTCATGCCCGGGGCAACTGCCCTGCCCCATTCTGGGCGCCTGACCTGAGGTCAGACCTTGCCCTTTCCCCTGATGCCCCAAGTCCCTGTTCTTATGGGTTAAGGAAGGAGAGATGATAAGCAAGTAGACAAATAGAAATATGTTAAGTGCTGACCAGTGCTAGGAGAACAATGAGGCAGCACAGAAGAATAGAGAATAGTGAGCGCTGCTGTTTACATACGGTGCTCAGGGAAGCCCTCTCTGAAGAGAGAAGGCAAAAGCACCCTCCTGAAGGAAGGATATTTTACACGAAACCCCCCAGCAACTGCAAAGGTCCTGAGACAGAAATATGGGAAGTTCAAGGAGCCTGGAGCAAGAATGACAAGGGGTGACGTTAGAGAGGAAGATAGGGGTCACATCACAAGGAGTACAGAGGCCACTGTAAGGATTTGGGCTTTTACTCTGTAGGAGTCAACAGCTAATGGAGGGTTTTGAGCAGAGGAATGACATGAGATTTGTGTTAAGACAATCTCTACTGTGTTGAGATTAGGCAAAGGTGGACAATAGTGGAGGGAGAAAAAAAGATGTAGAAGGAAGGAGAAAGAGATATGACAGTAGCTTGTTCCAAAGTGTTAGTGGTGAAAGCAGAGAAAAGTGGTCAGACTCTGGATAGATCCTGAAGGAATAAGGGGATCTGCTGATGGATTGGATGTGGGGTATGGCAGAAAAATGGAAGAGGACACTATAATCATAAATGGAACAATCCAACCAGAAAATAAAACAATTGTAAATACTTATGCACCCAACATGGAAGCACCCAAATACATGAAGCAGTTAATAACATATAAAGGAAGTAATCAATAGTAATACAATAATAGTAGGGGACTTTAATCCTCGCTTACATCAATGGACAGGTCATCTAAACAGAAAGTAAAGAGACGGTGGCTTTGAATGACCCATTGGACCAGGTGGATTTAACATATATATTCAGAACATTTCATCCTAAAACAGCAGAATATACATTCTTTTCAAGCACACATGGAACATTCTCCAGAATAGATTACATATTAGGCCACAAAACAAGTCTCAACAAATTAAACATCGAAGCCATGCCATGTATCTTTTCTAACCACAACACTATGAAACTAGAAATCAACCATAAGAAAAAAATCTGGAAAGATCACAAATACATGGAGATTGAGTAACATGCTAGTAAGCAATGAATGGGTCAATGAAGAAATCAAAAAGGATATCAAAAAATACAGACACGGGCAGCCTCGGTGGCTCACTGATTTAGCACCACCTTCAGCCCAGGGCCTGATCCTGGAGACCCGGGATCAAGTCCCACGTCAGGCTCCCTGCATGGAGCCTGCTTCTCCCTCTGCCTGTGTCTCTGCCTCTCTCTCTGTGTGTGTGTCTCTCGTGAATAAATAAATAAAAAATCTTAAGAAAAAATACAGACATGAACATTAAAACACAACAGTCTAAAATTGTTGGAATGCGACAAAAGCAGTTCTAAGAGCAAGACTTATAGTAATACAGACCTACTTCAAAAAGCAAGAAAAATCTCAAACCTTATACCTAAAGGAGCTAGAAAAAGAAGAACAAAACCCAAAACCAATAAAAGGAAAGAAGTAAGGAAATAATAAAGATTAGAGCAGAGAGATGTCTTGGTGGCTCAGTGGTTGAGCATCCGCCTTTGGCTCAGGTCTTGATTCCAGGGTCCTGGGATCTAGTCCCACATCGGGCTCCCCACAGGGACCCTGCTTCTTCTTCTGCCTATGTCTCTGCCTCTCTCTGTGTCTCTCATGAATAAATGAATAAAATCTTTTTTAAAAATTTAAAAATGGATAGATCAATGAAAGTAGGAGGTGGTTCTTTGAAAAGATCAACAAAATTTATAAACTGTTAAAAGCCAGACTAAAAAGCATTCAAAATCAGAAATGAAAGAGGAGAAATAACAACCAATACCACAGAAATACAAAAGATCATAAAAGAATATTATGAAGACTTATATGCCAACAAATTGGACAACCTAGAAGAAATGAGTAAATTCCTAGAAACCTGAGTCAGAAGGAAATAGAAAATTTGAACAGACCAGTTATCAGCAACGAAATTCAATCATTAATCAAAAAACTGTCAATAAACAAAAAGTCCAGGACTGGATGGCTTCACAGGTGAATTCAACAAAATATTTAAAAAAGAGTTAATACCTATGCTTTTCAAATTGTTCAAAAAAAAAAAAAAAAAGGAGTACCTGGATGTCTCAGTTAAATATCTGCCTTCATTTCAAGTCATCCTGGGATCAAGCCCTATGGCAGGCTCCCTGCTCAACTTGCTTCTCCCTCTCCCTCTGCCTCTCCTTCTGCTTGTGTTGTCTATCTCTGTTGAATAAGTAAATAGAATCTTAAAAAAAAAAAAAAGATGACAGAATGCTTCCAAATTCATTGTATGAGGTCTGCATTGTCCTGATACAAAAAACAAACAAAAAAAGAAAACCACAGGCCAGTGATTCTTCTTTTTTTTTTTTTCAGGCCAGTGATACTGATGAACAGAGATGCAAAAGCCCTCGACAAGATATTAGCAAACTGAATCCAATAATACACTAAAAAAAATCATTCGTCACGATCAAGAAGGATTTATTCCTGGGTTGCAAGTGTGGTTCAATATTTGCAAATCAATCATGATATGTCATATTGTTAAGGATAAAAAACATATGGTAATTTCAATAAATGCAGAAAAAGCATTTGACAAAGTACAACATTCATTCATGATAAAGACCTTGAACAAAGTAGATTTAGAGGAAACATACCTCAACATTATAAAGGCCATATATGTAAGACCTACAGGTGACACCATTCTCAATGGGGAAAAACTGAAAGCTTTTCCCCTAAGGTCAGGAAAAGGTAAGAATGTTCATTCTCACCACTTTTCTTCAACATAGTACTGGAAGTCCTAGTCACAGCAATCAGATAGGAAAAAGGAATAAAAGGCATCCAAATTGGTAAGGAAGAATTAAAATTTTTACTATTTGCAGATGACATGACACTATATATAGAAAACCTTGAAAACTCCACCAAAAAACTACTAGACCTGATCAATGAATTCAGTAAGGTCACAGGACACAAAATCAATGTACAGAAATCCATTGCATTTCTCTACACTAATAATGAAGCAGCAGAAAGAGAAATGAAGAAAACAATCCCATTTATAATTGTACCCAAAATAATAAAATACCTAGGAACGAACCTAACCAAAGAGGTAAAAGATCTGTACTCTGAAAACTATAAAACACTGATGAAAGAAATTGAATATGACACAAAGAAATGGAAAGAGATTCTATGCTCATGAAGTGAACAAATATTGTCAAAGTGTCTATACTATCCAAAGCAATCTACAGATTTAATGCAATCCCTGTCAAAATAGCATGAATCCCTAGCAATAGTAACTTTGAAAAACAATATTTTTCAAAAAACTAGAACAAACAATCCTAAAATTTGTATGCAACCACAAAAAACCCTCAAATAGCCAAAGCAATCCTGAGAAAGAAAAGCAAAGCTGGAGGCATCATAATCCAGACTTCAAGTTATATTACAACGTTGTAGTAATCAAAACTGTATGGTACTGCCATAAAAACAGAAAGAGGGGTGCCTGAGTGGCACGGTTGGTCAAGCATCCAACTCCTGGTTTTGGCTTGGATTGTGATTTCAGGGTCCTGGGATTGAGCCCCGTGTCAGCTCTGTGCTCAGTAAGGTGTCTGCTTGAGAGTCTCTCCCACTCCCTCTGCCCCTCCCATACGTACTCGGTCACTCACTGTCTAAAATAAGTAAATAAATTTTTTTTTAATTTTTATTTATTTATGATAGGCACACAGTGAGAGAGAGAGAGAAAGGCAGGGACACAGGCAGAGGGAGAAGCAGGCTCCATGCACCGGGAGCCCGACGTGGGACTCGATCCCGGGTCTCCAGGATCACGCCCTGGGCCAAAGGCAGGCGCTAAACCGCTGCACCACCCAGGGATCCCTTTTTTTTTTTTTTAATTTTTATTTATAAGTAAATAAATCTTTAAAAAATATAGACATGTAGACCAATGGAACAGAATACAGAGCCCAGAACTAAACCTACAATTACATGATCAATGAATCTTCAACAAAGGCGGTAAGTATATGAAAAGGGAAACAGTCTCTTCCACAAATAGTGGTGGGAACATTGGACAGCTACATGCAAAAGAATGAAACTGGAACACTTTTCTACACCATACATAAAAATAAACTCAAAATAGATTAAGGACCTAAATGTGAGACTTAAAACCATAAAAATCTTAGAAGAGAACACAAGTAGTGCTCTCTGACATCAGCTGTACCATGTTTCTAGATGCATCCCCTGAAGAAAGGGAAACAAAAGCAAAAATAAGGGATGCCTGGATGGCTCAGCAGTTTAGCGTCTGCCTTTGGCTCAGGGCATGATCCTGGAGTCCAAGGATTGAGTCCTACATCGGGCTCCCTGCATGGAGGGAAGCATGGAGGGATTCTGCTTCTCCCTCTGCCTGTGTCTCTGCCTCTCTGTGTCTCTCATGAATAAACAAATACAATCTTAAAAAAAAAAAACTATGGAGACTACATCAAAATTAAAGGCTTTTACACAGTGCAAGAAACCATCAACAAAACTAAAAGGCAACCTACTAAATGAGAGAAGATATTTGCAAATGACATATCTCGTAAAGGGCTAGTATCCAAAATATATAAAGAAGTTATGCAACTCAACACCAAAAAATCTCCAAATAATTCAATTAAAAAAATGGGCAGAAGACATGAACAGACATTTCTCTAAAGAAGACAGACAGAAGGCAGCTACGGTGGTGCAGCGGCTTAGCGCCGCCTGCAGCCCAGGGTGTGATCCTGGAGACTGGGGATCAAGTCCAACATCAGGCTCCCTGCATGGAGCCTGCTTCTCCCTCTGCCTGTGTCTCTGCCTCTCTCTCTCTCTGTGTTTCTCATGAATAAATAAATAAATCTTTAAAAAAAAAAGAAGAAGACAGATGGTGGCCAACAGCTACATGAGAAGATGCGCAACATCACTCATCAGGGAAATGCAAATCAAAACCACAGTGATCTATCACCTCGCGCCTGTCAGAATGGCTAAAATCAAAAACACAAGAAACAACATGTGTTGGTGAGGATGTTGGAAAAAAAGGAACTCTGTGCACTACTGTTGGGGATGCAAACCGGTGCAGCCACTGCGGACAACAGTATGGAGGGTGCTTAAGAAATTAAAAATAGAACTACTATATGATCCAGCGACTCCACTACAGGGCATTTACCCAAAGAATATGAAAGCACCAGTGCAAAAGGATATAGGCACCCCTATGTTTATAGCAGCAGTGTCTACAAGAGTCAAACTATGGAAGCAGCCCAGGTGTCCATCGATAAAGAAATGGATAAGTAATTATACACGTGAAACTAATTTGACACTGTATGTTAATTATACTGGGATTAAAATTAAAAATAAAAGAGAGAAGATGAAGTTGAGGAGGCAGCAAGGGCACAGGAGGGCCAGGAGGGATTCTAGCAAGCTGAGGGCACTCTGGAGTTCGAGTACCTGAGCACTCGGTACCTGCGTTCTTCCCTGCTAATGCAGAGGCCTGTTTGGGCTCTTGGCTTCTCAGGAGGACGATGGGCAAGACTGAATAGGAGGAAGATCCAAGGAGGTAGGCAGGAAGGCTCAAGGGCAGCACTGAAGTTTGTCAAACATGCCAATAGGAAGATCCTTGAGGGTCTAGGCGTCTAGGTTTTGATCACGTAGGTGAACCAGGCAAAGCTTCCAAGAGCAGCCTGACAGGAAGGAGTCTGGTCTGGGAGCCCCTCTTCCTCCAATCTGGGGTCCCCTACAGGAAGAGGGGAGCTGGAGGCTTCAACATCAGCTAAATGGTGACTTAGGTCTGGACGTGAATGGAGAGATTAAGATGACGAGTGGCCTTAAAGAGGAAGAACTTGGGATCCCTGGGTGGCGCAGCGGTTTGGCACCTGCCTTTGGCCCAGGGCGCGATCCTGGAGACCCGGGATCGAATCCCACATCGGGCTCCCGGTGCATGGAGCCTGCTTCTCCCTCTGCCTGTGTCTCTGCCTCTCTCTCTTTCTCTCTGACTATCATAAATAAATAAAAAATAAAAAAAAATTTAAAAAAAAAAAAAGAGAAGAACTTTTAGTTTGGTGGCAAACCCTGGGGGGTAAGGGCTCAGAGGGGCGAGCTGACCTGGAGCCCTCAAATCTCAGTGAGCAAGTGTGGGTGACATTGCAGCCTAGGCTAGATGGTCTTCTATGGGGCTTAGGTAGAGCAAGGAAAACAGTTTGGGAGTCCCTCCCATTGAGAGGATAGCACCCCATGTGTTGGGAGAAGAGGTGCCAGGGCCTGGTCTCCCTCAGCACAGGAGGCTCAGCAGCTCTTCCCTCTGTTTCCGCCGCCCATTCCAGGCCCCAGTGCTTGTAGCCCAGAATTTGAGGGCAACTTCAAGTTCTCCTGTTCATTTAGAACTCCTGCCCAGAGTCCAACCCTAAGCCTGTTGTAAGGCCCAAATCAGAGGCCTTAGCCAAGAAGAGAAGAGCCCAGATTTTTCCATGTGAGGTTGGTGGCTACAGCAGCTGTAGGCCATGCTCTTCCGGGTGGCTAACCTCTCCCCTCTCCCCATGCCCAGAACCCACAGAACCCAGACAGCGTCCTAGCCAGAACCTGCTGGTGGAGGAGATGAAAGGGGCCCAGAGAGGTCAGCAGGAAGAGAACCCAAGTACTTCACTCTCACCTTACATCTCTTTCACTTCCCTGTGACCCCTGCTACCTTTTCATCCCAACAAAGCAGATACTGACTCCTCTTTCAAAAAATTTTATTTTAAATCCCTAGTGAACATCTAAGAAGAAAATGTAAAGTGCTTGGCTTTAGGACTGGGGGAAGAGGGAAAGGTCCCCTGAGTTCATACCATTTGGACTTTCCCAGGTCAGTTCCTCAGAAATGAAAGGTGTATCTCAAAACAAAAACAAAAACAAACAAAACAAAAACAAAAAACGGGGGGTATAAAGATCATCCTTGAGTTCTCCACCAGCCGGGTACATGAGCAGTTGAAGGACAGAGCTGTCAGGGACAACCACGGAGAACTGTCACGGAGGGAGGCAGGCCAACAGTGTGGAGAATGAGTCTCTTTCAAAGCAGATAGGAGGAAGAGAGAGGAGAGGAGGAAGCGGGGTCTCCCAGGCTCTGCAGCAGGGACACAGCGGCTGACTGCTCCTCTGGAGTCTCTTCCAGTAAATGTCGGGCAAAGGCCTGCTCCATCTGTGCCAGAGAAGGTGGGGGAGAACTTGTCAGGAGCACAGCCAAGAGCAGACACTACCCTAGGAGGTCTTCCCCCCAGGCCCCGTCTCCTGCTGGAACCACCCCAACACACGCCCTCCAGGGGCAGGCTAGCCTACTCTTCCCCTGCCCTGAACTCACCTGCACCGTGATGAGGCTCTTTGGGGTGCGGCTGGGTCCGGGGCTCTCCTCCCAGAAATTCAGTGTCACCTGGAACTCAGGTGGGGGACCCAGGCCCTGGAAGTACCTGACCAGGTCTGATGAAGGAAAAAGGATTAAGGGCTAGAAGAAAGAGAAGACAGGGGCCACAGGCAGGGAGGGGACCGAGAGGGGCCCACCATGGACAAAGACGGATGGCTGTGGGGCCAGAACTGGAGCCGCAGGATTGTGAGGCTGCTGCCTTATGCCAGGAGGAACGGTGGCAATTAGCTGCTACTCCCATGTGCAAACAGCAAAGGGCACCCCTTCCTCGAATAATACTTTGAGGTAACGGATTTTTATACGACCTGCAAGCTCTCTGCTGGAGAACTTAAGAGTCCTCCTGGCAGCCGGGGCTGCTTGACACAGAGGTGCCCCACTCTGTTGCTGGCTCACCAACCCCCCCCCAAGGGCACCCACGGCCCTGGAACTCTCCCATTCCGTGTCCCCTACACTCCTGGCCAGATTTACAGGTGAAGGGAGGCAGAAGTAGAATTCCAGAAGTGGATGGGAGAAGAATGACCAGAGGAGCTGCCCGGAGTGTGGCAGGGCCCGTGAGTAGGTGGAGGGCGTGTGTGGGAGCGTGTGCGGGAGAGGCCCAGCAGGCACACCTCCCATCACTGCATGCTGCCAGGCGGGGGCAGTCCCCGAGATGTGACGTGTGTGCTGAGCTCCACCTGAGCCTCATCTTCCGAGGCCTGGACTAGGGAAGGGTGGCTGCCAGACAGCTGCCGGGGCGGAGCACAGGGCCCCACAGGATGTGCATGGTGCGAGGGCAGGGTGCCACACAGCAGCTGTGATGAGGGATCTACTGGCAGAAACACAGGGTGGTGGCAGAGCCTATCAGGTCCCGGGGCAGGGTTATGAGGAGCCAGGGGCTCAGCTCAGCTGGAACAGCCTCACCTCTGCAGAAGTGGGTGGTTCTGAAGAGCTCCACACACTCATTGCTGGGCAGCAGATGTGGGCCTGGGCCAGGTGGGGCCTGGGGTGCATTCCAGGAGACGGGGATGGGGCAGAGGCGCTGCACGAAGAGGCCCCGGGAGTTGCTGGCTACCAGGACACCCCTCTCGATCTGGCTCAGCAGGCGCTGGGTGGGCTCTGGAGGGTCAGGCTTGGGAAAGACGACCTGCTCCATCCCGCACTGGGAGCCGGAGGGCTCGGCCACGAGGCGGCAGTCCAGGCTCTGCACCTGGGCTTTGCCCACCATGCGCCCACTGTAGATGAAGGTGAGCAGCAGCGAGTAGTCTGTGGACAGAGAACCACCAGCTGCCCCTGTGCTTCACCTGAGGGGTCCGCCGGGTCAGCCCCAGGGCCTGGGGGATGAGGAGAGGCTCCTCGAGAACCCCACATCCTCATTTTGCTGATGAGAAACGTGAGGTCCAGCGAGAGAAGCCAAGGGAGGACAGGGGTAGCAGCTTCATCTTCTGAGGCCAGGGGCCACCTCCTCATCTGCCCCATCGCCACCCTCACCAGCCTAGGGGCCTCCTGCCAGACTTTCTCATCACCCAGGGCCTTACAGTTTAGGTCCCAGAGCCTGGGTCTCTGCTTGACCCCCAGGAATTAATGTCTCAAAGTGGATTTCCTGGGAACAGAGTGTAGAGAGGGTATTTTTGAGAATTGAGCTGTGTCTGGAGTCTGGAGTCTGGCCAGGTATCCTGCCTAGAAACTAGTGCCTCTGTCTGGGCAAGGTGGGCCCAGGCTGCTATGAGCCCTGCCAGACACAGTGATGCATGCATGTCCACAGGGAGACAGGCAGGGGACAGGGCGCAGGGATGAGTCAGAAATGCCACGCACCTGAGCCCGGAGGGGGCAGAAGCTCCAGTGACACCTGATCTCCTTGGAAAGGGGCTTCAGCAGTACCTGTGCCTAGAAGGGAAGCAGCGGTGCATTGCTCAGAGTAGGACTGGGGACTCCAAGGGCCAGAGGGTACGGTGTGGGGGGACGAACAGAGGCGGGGGAGGTGGTACCTTCCTGGGGCTCAGGGCTGCTGTTGCTGCTACTCCCAAAGTTTGAACGGCTCGTTCCCCCATTGGCCCCCACCTCCTCCTGCAGACACAGGATCTATGGTTGGCCCACCTCTCCCCTAGTTACGGTCCCTGCCCTCAGGCGCCCCCCCCCACCCCGTTCCTACCCTTGCTCTTACATTTCTGAAGGGGTCCACAAGCAAGGAGGGACTGGGTGCACCATTCTTCACGGTCCCCTCGTCCTCCTCCCTTTCAGAGGACACAGAGCTGTGATGTCGCTTTGATGGTGATTTCTGGGTCCCAGGCTGGGCTGTGGAATATTGTGGAAGGGGAGAAATGGCAGAGCCTTAAGTGGGGACAGAGGGTAGGACAGGAGGCCGTGGAAGGATGGGCAGGACCAGAAAGGAGAAGCCAGCAGAGCTCGCCAAGGACAGTGATGGGGCAGAGGTCCCAGTGAGGGGCTGGAGAGAGGCAGGTCTGCTGCTGCTAGGAGGGGTGGGGCAAGGGGACACCCACCAGGGAGGGTCCCGGAGGGCAGCAGCCGATACACCTTGTAGGGCTCAGCTCCGTCCCTATGGCCGTTCTCAGGCACCTCCTCAAATTCAGGACTCTTGTTGAGCGCACAGCGCAGCCGAGTCTTCCAGATAGCCGGGCCTTCCATGTCCCCTTCCTTATACTTCCCCTTAAATATGGCCCACGCCTTCAAAACACAGGAAGTCAAACAGAGACAGCATGTTACACACCCCGGCTGACCCCCTACTTGCACCAGCTTCAGGCAGCTGGGCCACCCCAGCATCTGCACAGAAGGGCCGGCGCTCAGGTTTATGCTCCCCTACCGCCCTCTTGAAATCCTTCACAATGTTGGCATTTTCGCCATGCACAGGATGTGATGATCACGCAGCTGGTTCTACCCTCCCATCTCCCCTTTATCTGAAACCCAGGCAGACACAAGTCCTTGGGGTGAGAGCTTCAGTGTATACTCCACCCCTCCTTCGGAGGCTCCAGTTTCCGCGCTGTCACCTTGAAGAAGGCGGCATCCTGGTCCTCACGGAAGTCCTGTTTGCCCGCATGCTTCCAGGGGATCCGGAACATGGTCTTGGCTGCGTCGTCCCAGCACACCCCCGGGAACTGCCCGCTCTCCACCTGCTCCACCACCCAGTTCCGCAGCTTTCGGGTGGAGCGTGCCCTGCCTGAAGCCATCCTAGGGACAAGAGTGGCAGGTGGCATCAGTGGGACTGACGCTTTGGGAGGGGATGTCTGCCAAGATCCTTACCACCGGGGTTGGATTCTGGCAAGGGACCCCGGAATCCCATCTATCTTTTGCCTGTAGACCTTTCTCAAAAATTCTGAGCCCAAATGGTGAGGTTTGTCCCTTCACTAGTAATGACAAACAAAACAACAAAAGACACATCCCTTTTAATCTCCCAGGCTGTGACATCTGGGAGAAAACTCTACACACTGGTACTAGTTTTAAGACTTTCTGGGAAATCTGTTGTGTGGCAGAGAACTCTCTTGGTGTGGCTCGTGGGGACCGGCCCGGTCTCTAGCCCAAGCATCTGCTTCTGAGATGCCTGCCTCAATGGTCCCTCACCCACTCCCCTCCCAACAACCTGGTCCTTGACCCCCACCCTTCCCCTATAGGTAGGTGGGGCAGGGCTGCGGCGGAAGTGGGCAGGGCCAGAAGGCAGGAAAACAAACGGGCAGCCAGAGCCGGGCCTCTGAACAATCTAGCAGTAGGGCTTCCTGTCCTTTACTTCTAGGGCTGGGGCCCCTGACCCCCCGTCAGCCTCTCACTCAGGCCAACTCCCCCCCCCCCCCCCGCCCCCGGCTCACAGGCCATCTGTAGATTCCTGTTTCACAGAGGGGCCCCAGGAGACCCCACTCCCAACTCTAATCCGGACGGGCCTTCCAGCTCTAGACCCGGGCTGACCTCCACTCTCGGCCGGTCTTACCTGCGCGGCCAGCCGGCTGTCCCAAGATGCAAGCTGCCCTCGGCCCGGCACCCTCCAGATCTCTCCGCCCCTTCCTACAGTCCCCACCCTAAGTTTCAGTTCTCCAGGCGCCGCCGCTTCTCAGAAATCACGTGGTCCGAGCTGCAGGGCAACCGCGCGCCACCAGGGGGCGGCAGCATCCGAGGGCCCCCACCGCTCCCGTAGACCCCCCTGATTGCCAGCCGCTGCCGCTTCCCAGGGAGGCCAGGATTCTGGAGTCTGGCGGGGGGCCTCTGGCTAGCCCTCTACCACCCGTGCATCTGTGTTTACCCCCTCGTGCCTGCCTGGTGCCTGGCAGGTGACCTCAAATATCAGCTGGATTCCATGAAGGAACAAAGGACGCTGGGGAGGAGAAAGCCCAGGCCGGGTCGCTGGCTGGGGACAGCCTCCTTGGCCATCCATGGTGTCAATTCCTTCCTGGCCCTGAGTCCAAGGAGGGTCCTGTGGTGGGCTGCAGGCGGCCCTTTCAGCAAAGCTCTCTGTTCACCCCCTTTCCCTGGTGCCCCAGATGGTGGGGCAGAAGAAGGACCACCAAAAAGCCTGGGCAAGGAGATGCCTCTTTATTGGTGCTGGAGCTGTTCCTGAGGAGGTTCGGCCTTGAGATACTCATGAGGATCCTTGCCCCCCTCCCCCCCACTACTTCCTCCTGCGAGGGATACTCTGTCCCAAGGGCACCTCTTCCATCAGCTTCTGCAGGAGAGAGAAAATGATAACACTGGAAGCCTAGAGCTCAGATGCAGGCTGGACAGGAGACTTGTAGAGTGTGGGTCAAAGGCGAGGCTGGGGGGAGGGAGGCTGTACCTGTAACAAGCGGGCATGGTAGGCAGGGGCATCCTCCCCTGCCACTGGCTGAGGGCGCACGTGCAGGTAGCGCTCAGCAGCCGTCTCCAGCTCCTCCACCTCATATAGGGTGGCTGGGTCCAGTGAGTGCGCGTTGATGAGGCTCACAAGATACTCTTTGTAGTGTGCCCTGCAGAGATGACAGGGTGGAGTATTTGTTCTTCTGTTTGGCTAATATATATTTTATATATATATATTCATGAGAGATGCAGAGAGAGAGGCAGAGACACAGCCAGAGGGAGAAGCAGGCTCCATGCAAGGAGCCCAATGGGGGACTCGATCCCGGAACTCCGGGATCACACCCTGGGCTGAAGGCAGATGCTCAACTGCTGAGTGACCCAGGGGTCCCTTATTTGGCTAATATTAACCAAGTGTGCCCCACACCTTGCTGGGCACTGGTGTGCTCAAACAGGACCGGGGACTCTTGCCACTTGTAGTGGTGGGTACCATCTCCCTGTGTGCACTGCTGGCTACTACCTAGCCACGCCCTTGCCCAGAGAGCCCCTCTCTCACTTCCCCTGCAGGACCTACCACAGCCAGAGATCCCCAGGTGTATCCCCCTGCCCCCAACTCCATGCCGTGCCTGACACTCACTGGCAGAGGCCAGCATGGCCAGCTGGAGTCTCCTTGCCACAAGCTTCATCCCGGAACCCATTAGGGACTTCCTTCTGCTCCATCACTCGGCAGCCACCTAAGGATAAGGGAAGGAAGGGACCCTTGTATTGGGAGGAGGTGACAGACCACAAAGCCCCCAGAGAAGAGGGGTATGAGGCATGGGAAACAGCCTCCAGGGAGGGGACTGCTCTAATGGTGTTGGGGTGGGAGAGGAGTGGGTACTTAGAGACACCATCATGGGAGACCAACTCTGACACAGAAGCAGAGGCCCTGCTTTTATCCAAGCTTGGTTTTGGTCCATAATCATGTACCCTCTTTTTTTTTTATTGTCGCATACTCTCAAGACAACTCTGGACTATGATCCTTTGTGCCTGGTTAACTCATGCTGTGAAGGCCTTATCTTATTGTAATAAGGGGTGGGGTAGATTAGAACCATATGTAACATCTTTCTGTTGCCCTCATGGAATCTAAAACAGTGCAACTCCTGAGTCTCATTAAATATTCCTTGAGTTAACAAATGAATCATTATCCTTTGGGAATGGGAGAAGAAAATCAGGATTAAGTGCCAAGTGCTTTAATATGGCCTCAAGTAAACAGCCGAGCTACAAAGTAGGGGTCTTACTCCCACGTCACAGATGGAGAAACCAGACCCAGTGAAACTGACCTGCCAAGAAGCCACAAGTGGGCACAGGCCAAGCTCTGAGCATGGACCCAAGCCTCCCCTTTACCCACAACACAGTGGGAGCCCGCCCTCACCCCTTCTCTGAGGCCTGTTCAGACACTCACCGCCAGGAACTGCCCGGGCCCCTGCTGGGGGTTCTGTGTTGAACATGACATTATTGTCCTGAGGAGGGGCAGATGGATGGGCGTTAGGTTCCCCTTGATGCCAGCCTACTGAATTGCCCAGCCCAGAGCCTTCCCTTTCTTGCCACCCTGTGCCTGGCCTTCTACCCTGGGCAATCTGCAAACCCAGCGTGGCTGGCCACCCCTGACCTGTAGCAGCTTCTGGAGCCGGAGAGCAGTCCAGTCCCGCAGGTAAAAGAGGCAGTCTCGTGGGTGGTGGCCATGCAGGGACTTTTTCACCCTGCAGTTAGGGTCTGGACATTTCTGGCGGAAACCCATATGGGAGAGGGGAAGTTGGAGACGGTTGGGGTCCTGGCTTCTCAGAACCCCTGTATGAGGGGTGTAGGGAAGAGGGGGGAAGATGGAGACATTGGAGGCAAGCAGGCAAGCAGAAGGGGAGAGGGAACAGAGAGAGGTGCTTCACACCCCCACTGGCCTCCCCTTTTCTTCCCCTAGGCTACTCCTTAGTGCCTTTGCCCCTCACACCCAATGGCAGCATCCCTCCCCCGCCCCCAATCCCTTCCATCCCTCTCCTCCAGGCTCACATTCTTGGCGTAAAAGGCATTGTAGCAGCCGCTGCAGAACTGGTGGCGGCATTGGGTGCAGTGAAAGTGCATGCAGCCTCCTCGGGCCAGTGCATATGAGAACTTGCACTTGGGGCAGTCTGTAAGGAACAGCAGGTCAGGGCTGGTGCTGCCACTGCTCCTGAAGGCCTTTGGGAAGAGAACCTCTGGCAATAACAAATGACTGGGCAGACAGGCCCAGTGGCACATCCTTACCAATGCCATTCTCCTGAAGATACAGGGCTAGGCCCTGGGCCTGGTATTCGGGGTCATTGTTGCGTTTCCAGTTCTGGAAATCCTCGCAGCTCCGGCCTCGGTGCTGCTCCTCCCACTGCAGGAGGGAAAGCAAGCTTCGCATGAAAGCTCCACCCTGGGCCCTTCCCAAGGACCCCGCCTCTTATACCTTGTGGGCCCTGGCTTTACTTTACAGCACTGTCATTCACTGTTTGCTCCAGTCTTAAACTGAGGGGCCAGGCTTGGTTCTTTCACCTCTTTGTACTAGCACACATTCACCGGCAGGTTGTATTTCCACCCCCCTAAACCTACCTCAGCCCTGTCCCCTTTTCCTTCATCCCTGCTGTGGCCACCCTACGCCAGGCCAGGTCAGGTCTTGCCTTGGTTACTGGTGTCTCTACCTCCACTCCTGCTCACCTGTGGCCATAGTGCCTTGGAGAGCATAAGGCAGGCAGCTTCAACAGTATGGGCAGTGTTCTAGATCTGAGATTCAGTGATAGGGTCTTGGGTGGTCATTTTATTATTGTGTTTTATAACACAGATGTAACTTTTTGGCATTAGAAGTTAAACTTTTTAGAATATGTGCCATCAAAGTGAGCAATCAAATGGCAAACTTTTTATTTTATTTTTTATTTTTTTAAATGGCAAACTTTTTAAAAGGCAAATGAGATAGTATCACCCCTTGGTTAGTCTTAGAATAAAAGGCAAATACCTGCCTCACTTGGCCTCACGGCCTTTCCTGATCTGGCAGCTAGCTCCTCTCCAACCACCTGCCACTCTCACCCTTGCTCTTGGGGCTCCAGCCACACAACACTTTTTCTGACTTTGGACTTTCCACGTGTTGTTCTTTCTGTCCCGAATATCCTTTGCATAGTTGGCTTCTTCTTAACTTTCAGGCCTGAGCTTAAATTAAACCGTTTTAGAGAAGACTTGTCTGACCTTTCCATCCCAAGTAGGTGTATTCTGTTATTCCTAATCTCAGATTCCTGTTTTCATAATAGAATTTATGCTATGTGTACTCAGGCTCTCTCTCTCCCTCACTGCCTTTCTTGCCTTCCTTCCCCACTCTTCTCCTCACCTTACCTTTCACCCTCCCTCCCTCTCTCCCTCCTTTCCTGACTACTCTGTGAGCTCTTTGACCCCAGAGCTCACATCTGTTCCATGCTTCAGCATACCCCGAGTCTGACAGAATACCTGTCAGTAGCTTAGCAAGTTACTCTGAAAGGATGAATGGGCCTCACCTGGCGCTTACAGCGCACACAGAAGGTCTGGTGACACTGGGGACATGTTGCCTCCAGCTGCTCCCGTTCATATATGAAGCCAAAGGAGCACTGTGGGTACAAAAGTATAAAGCTACCTGAGGCCTGATCTGGCACCCTGCCCTCCTCCCTGCCCCCTCCAGTCAGCTCCCCTGGGCAGGTCACTTACTTGGGCACACCACAAGAATTTGGGGTCCCGCATGAGCACACCCTCAGTCAGCTTCTTGTGAAACAGTGCATAGGCATCTGGCTCCAGGCTCTCCCGAAGCTGGGGACAGGATGCATAAGTGGTGGATGGGCAGGGTTCCTGTTCAAAGCCAGGGCTCCCTGAGTCTTAGGGACTGCAGTACCTGGATGTCAAGTGTAGAAAAGTAGCTGAGCAACTGCGTGTCATCGGTGAGGTCAGGGCGGCCACAGGCGGGGCACACCATGTCTGTGATGTGTTTCTCCTTCAGGGCGATGGTGAAGTGCTGGCGGAAGCAGTCGGGACAGATGGTGCACTCACAGGAAGTCAGGGCCTGCATCTGTAGGAGGAGGCAGGGGGAAGAGGGGGTCTGAAGCCACAGCTGCCAGCAGTGGGGAAGGGGCAGTAGCCAGGTGTTTACTGGAAACCAGGGTCTGATTAACAACTGGCCAATGTGGGAACCTCCAATAAGTGCCTAGCAGGGAATCTGAATGTCTGAAGACT